AGACAGACCCATCCTCATTGTCTTCTCTTGCAAAGCAAATGCACCTATACCACACACACACACACACACACACACACACACACACACACACACACACTGGATTACTGGATTTTTTGGAACTGGGAATTGAACCCATGGCCAGGTCATGCTAGGCAAGTGCTCTATCACTGAGCTACACCCCTTGCCCTGGATTATCCATTTTATGTGATTTCCATCATGTTTGCTCTTGGTGGCCTTTTCTCTTTGCTGTGGTAACACAGGAGACTAAAATAACTACTATGAAGTAACTTACTGTGGACTATGAGCTTGGTGCTTATGCTGCTGGATCCTGCCACATTAGTTGCCATGCATGTGTACTGGCCGGTGTCATCAGGCTGAGCAAATGCTATCTGGAGAGCTCCAGAGTTGAGGATGTGCTGCCGGATGGATTCCATAATCACATGCCCATCTTTATGCCATGTAATGTCCGGGGGTGGAAGGCCCTCTGTCTCACATGGTAACATAATTGGCTTATCCACAGCAATGACGTATTCCTTTGAATGAGTGCTGATGACTGGAGGGACTAAAAGAAAGTTTAAACCTCATTTTAAAGGCACAAGTGTAAAAATTACACACTACAGCACTACTCTAGCAAAATGCAGTAACATCAATAAGAAACAAAATCCTGAGCTTACCACATCATCAATGAAGGATTCTATAGTTTGTTTGGAACATTAAAATTAAAATATTGAGTGTATTTTAGAAAATTAATCTCTATAAATGAACAAATAAAGGTAATTAATAACCAATTTTAAATAATGAGATAAATATATATTTATGAAAGTTTGCATGTCTAGAATATTTAGGGTGTATCAATTCACATATATGAGTCATGTGATCATTATAGGCAGCATGGTGCTTTGGAAAATATTCTGCTGCTCAAAGATACTCCTACTAATGCACTCCCTACTGGACTTAGCATCATATCACATACTCAGTGGTAATATTTCGCAAAGCATTATTCCAATGAATGAATAAGTGACTAAATGGATAGATGATGGAAATAATCATATAAGTAAAAAGTTTTTTCGCTTCAGAAACCTAAGAAAAGAAAATTATAAGAATTTCTTTTCCAAGTGATAAAAATAGGCTGATCATCACTTAGGCATTGGGCTGGACATTCTACCAAGTCTTAAAGCATTCACCCTAAAAAGACACATTAGGTCTGCTAATGTAGCTCAGTGGTAAAGTGCTTGCTGTTAGAGATTAATCCACTGGAGTTCAGGGCTGAATGTGCTGTCAGGAGGGGGCTCTGGTCAGGAGAGCTGGGTTGGGAGTGGTGACTTGGAAGGGAATATGTCCCTCCCTTTGCTCCCTGCTTCCTGGCTGCCATGACTCGAGCAGCTTTCGTCCTCCAGGCCTTCCCACTATGCCTTTCCTGCCTTGGAGCCAGCCAACTGTGGGCTGACTCCTCTAAAAGCCAGGAGCCAAAATAAATGTCTTATTCTGTTAAGTTGTAGGTGTTGGGTATTTTAGGATATTTGGTTATCATGCACAAGGCTCTGGGTTTTATTCTCAGTATCTCAAAAAAAAAAGACATAGAGAATATGAATACCCATGGGAAGATTTTTTATAACAATCAAAATTAAACTATTTGGTTGAATTTATGGTTACCATTACATGCTGCATGTGCAAGGAGAAAGTCTATACAGATTTTTTCGTGCTCCTAGAGCATGCAATTATTGCTTTTGGAATGCTTACGTTATCTTTCATTGTTTAACTTTTCATCTCTTTTATAATTGCTTTTATAACAATACTTTGAACCTTTTAATGAAGAAAAAACTCAAATCTGAAACCATTCTTTTCTATTACCTCTGTACTGGTGAAACCAACGAACACTTTTTAGGTCTTAATCTTACTTAACTCAACTGTAGTCAACAGAATTGAAACACTGTTATCTCCTAACCTCCATCTAGTCTTCTTTCTGACATTTCTGTCCTCTGTACTGCACTCTTTTCCTTGTCTTCTCCTTTATCACACCGCCAAACAATGTACTGTCCCAGAACCTTGTCCTCAGAAACCTTTTCTGTCCACGTCCACTTTTCCTAGATAATCTCTTCCAGTATCCTGGATTTAACACTAATTATCCTATACTACACATCTCCCACAGGCTTCAATACACACTGAACCTTCTACTTGACACCTCTACTAGGATTTCCAATAGTTTCCTACATTTCACATGATTAAACATAAACCATCATTTCCTTCCTCTAAAATCAGTTCTTGCACACCCTCATGGCACTATCATCCATTCTCCAGATCAGACCCACAGCTTAGAAAACAAAACCATAGTTAAGGAAGCGACTATGGTATCAAGCAGTTTCAGAGAAGTTAAAAGTATGAGGGACACTTCAGTTTCCTTACACAAATGATGTGAGAAAATTAAAGCATGTTAACTGTACTCTTCATAAGGTAGTAGTAGAAAAACAAATAATGTTGAAAACTGTAAGTGAAAGACAGCATAATCATTTTAGATATGAGAATATTTAGTATACACTGGTACACACATCTTAGCAGAGAGATAAATTATTTAGGTACCTTGGATAGTTAGCTTGATTTTGCCCAAGGCGGTGCCAGCTGAGTTCTGAGCCACACACATGTAAGTGCCAGCATCCTCGCGGACAGCTCTGGAGATCTGCAAGCTGCCACTAGGAAGAGCTGCATGGCTTTTGCCTGTATCACCGTTATAAAAGCAGAGTCAAAAGAATTTTTACTTTTTGTTTAAAAAATCATTCTGCCTTCTGAACAGTAAAGCACTGAGTATGCCATGATTTTCCTGAGAGAAAGTGGTAGGTACCTGAAGTGATGACATTGATGCCTTCTTTTTGCCAAGAAATGAAAGGACTCGGTGTCCCTGTTGCTTCACATGGTAATAAAACAGAATTGTTTAGAATGACTTCTAGTTCACTTGGCTGGGGCTGAATGACTGGAGGCTCTGTGAAACCAATCAAACAAAGGAACAAGCACTTGTCAGTGGTGTAGATGGCTACAATAGTGATGAGTTTAGCTATGCCCAGACGTATTATTTCCAAAGTGTTGGTTATTTGATTGTCCAAGAGAAGAGTTGACATTGGCCACATTACATTCTTTGTCTTGCTATGATAGTGTTTGCATTAGAAGAACTCCATTGGAAGACCAGTAGAAACAGATAATAAAAATCCAAGAAGAAGTATAATTCTGGGGTTGTTTTGTATGGTTTGCCATCTCTGTCTTTTTTAGTCTCTTGAAAAATATCTTCCAGACTTTCATATCCCATTATATTACTATGGTTCTATGGTTTATATCTATAGATAGTACTATCTTTTCAGAATAAACATGGCTTTTAAGAACCCAAACAACAAACACTCCAACCCAGCATTTTTACCACCCTGTGTGGTGATGGGGATCAAACCCAATGCTTTGTACATGCCAGGCAAGAGCTCTGTCACTGAGCTATTCCCCCAGCCCACCCAGCAAGTTTTTAATGAGTAAATAACCTTCCATACCTTGGACATAAAGGGTCACATGTCTGTGAGCAGAACCAGCTGCATTCCTAGCAACACAAGTATATCTTCCTGCATGGTTTAATTGGGTGGCAGATATTTCAATTGCTCCTAAATAGGAAAAAGTTTTAATGTATAGTGCATCTATTTTTAGTTCAACAAATGATGTCTCTCAAACCGTGTTCTCTGCACTAAGCATCGTGGTCTTGGACTTATATCCATAGTTGTACCACAGAGTGCCTAGCACAGTTTTTAAGAAAATGATTAACAGGTTTATTGAGACATAATTTACATCCTGTAAGTGACCCATTTAAATGTACAATTCAATGATTTTTACAGTTGTGTAACTATTACCACAATCTAATTTAAAACATTTTCATGCTCCTCCAAAGAAGCTGGTGTTCATTTATAGTCAGTCTGAAGCTCCAACCTCAGCCTTAGGCCCTCACTAATCTACTTTTTGTCTTTAAAGTTTTGCCTTTCTGAAGATGTCATATAAGTGGAATCATCACTATGTGATCTGTGGTATCTGATTTCTTTCACTGTGAACATAATGCTTTTGAGGCTCATCTGTTGTAGCATGTATCAATATTTTGTTCCTTTCCCCTGCCAAACAGAATTTCATTTTGTGGACATACATTTTGTTTATTCATTCACCAGTTGACAGACATTTGAGATGTTTTACTTTTTGGCTATTGTGAATGGTACTGTATGAAGACTGCATACAAGTCTGTATGTAGCCATGTTTTCAAATCTTTTCAATAGATACTAGGAATGGAGTTGCTGTGTTTATGATAATTTTGAGAAAGTTCTAAATTGTTTTCTTGGCACAGTATTTTGTGATTATCCTGAAGGGTAGTTGGTTTATTTTATGATTTGAACCACTGCCAATCTACATAAGTTTCTGAGATGGCCACAGTATTTTGCCTTAAAACCAAAGTTGCATCCTGAGAACAAATCTTCCATTATTTTCCTTCTATTAAAGAAATATACAACTTCTCTCAGGATATTAGTCTCAGGATACTAGCTGCTACTATAATTTATCTCTAGTGTACCTTCATAGTGCAGGGTAACTTTTCAGAAACATAAGTATGAATCTCATTTTCATTTTGGTAATTTTTTTTTCTTCTCAGTCCTATAAATTGTATAGATGATGGCTATTAGCACTGTCAAAAATTGTCAATTATTTTGTATAATATCTAGTCTTTCCCCCTGAACAATAAATATTTTGAAAGCAGGAACCCTGTCTTAGTTTTATTATCTCAGAAATTAGGTAGAGTATATAGCCTATCTTAGGAATTTAATGTTTCTAAATAAACATTTCATTTGGCCAATGAAAAAAATGTGATTCACTCACAGGTAAGGAGAGAATTTGCTAAACCTTTTGTTTATTAAATATGCACACCAATAATTATGCTTATTATATTCAGATCAATTTTAGACATTACTTGTTATTTTATTTTTAGATTTCTTTATTAATTTATCTTAATTAGTACATGTTTGCAGTACATAATACTATTTGCATTTATCTCAGGGAGTTGGTACATGTACATAATACTTTTTAATTCTTTTTCTTCTCTCTTTTTTTCATTCCCTACCTTTCCCCTACCTCCATCTAGGTTCCTCTTCCTACTCTAGACGCATTTTTCCCAGATGTTTACATTTATGAGTACAAGAATGAATATTTCATTCTTTTATTTTGGTACAACAAAATAACTACTCTTTAATAACTACTCCACTCTTTAATAACTACTCCAATTAATGGATATAAAATCTCTGTAATTTTCTTACCAGAGGACAAAATTCGGTACCCATCTCCTCTTGGAAGTAATCTTATGCCATTTTTGGTCCAGTGAATTGAGGGAAATGGAACTCCTGAAGCCGTGCAAGTAATTACTGATGGGGCTTGTTTGGTTACTAGAAAGTCTGTAGGCTCATCAGCTATGGTGGGTGGAACTAAAACAAAAACAACAAAAAATGAGACTACACATTTCCAACACTTACATGTGTCCAAAGTCTTTTCATACATCTTCCTCATTCTGCTCTGAAAGTGAATGCTAGAAACATAGAAAAGGAAGCCCTCTTGTCAAGTAATGGAATGATGAAGTGATAACATTATAGTAACTTTCTATCCACTTGCTAAGCTAGTTCTACCTTGGACAGTGAGATCCATGGTCCTCTTATCTTTTCCAGCCGCGTTTGTTACACTGCACTCATAGGTTGCAGTGTCATCCACAGAAGGGGAAATAATTACCAGTGAACCTGAAGAAAGGAGCCTAGAAGAGAGATTTCAAAGCATGAGATTCTACATGTCAGTTTCTATATATTTATCCAATTAGTTCATCATAGTACCATGTTGTTCATTGAGATAAATGAAAGCCCTTCATGTTGAAATGAGTATCATTCAACTGACACAAACTTTGTGTGTCAAGATTTACATTTCTATGGCAAAGGGTTTTAAGTTTGATATTTATGAGAAGCAGTTAGCTGGAAAGATTGCCTAAAGAGGGAATCTCACATTTTCTGAATGCTTTTATTATGATCAAATTTGCTCTCCTAGGAGAATATAGTGTAATGGTACACTGATGATAGCTATTACCTTTTGAATTTCTGGCTCTGTCTGGAATGTTTCTGATAAATTATTCCTAAAATTCACAGTAATTTTGCAGGTTGGAATTTGATTATTTTTAACAATGGCTAACTGTAGTCTGTTCTCCTTTCTCTACTTCACATGTCTCCTCACATATGATGCCTTCCTTGGAGAAGCGTAGTATGTACAGGATATACACAGTGTGTACATCCATATAGTATATACATCTATGTGTACATATACACATAGTATGGATATTGATATATTTATCTATATCAATAATCTTTAATCTCTAATTCAAAGCTAAAACAATCTGAATCACTTCAAATGTTTATGAGGTTTAGTAAAAAACATACCTGATTTAAAGTAAATCTTAATTAAAGTATACATATGTTCTTCAAACTGCTCTGACAGAATAGAAATGATTTAGTTGATTGGAAACATTCAATTGCTTTATCATATATTTTTTATATAATGTATACTTTTAAGTCACTGAATTCCCAATGCCAAAAATTAAAAGGGCAAAGAGAGAGATGATAGAATTTCAATGGAAGCCTTCCTATTTCCTTGTATATCAGAATTAGTTTTTTCAAAGCAGATATATGAGAGCAGTTTTTAGTATTATGACAGATCTTTTCACAGGAAAACTATCAATTAGCTCAACTGATATATAATAAATGATGAGAAATTCTTAGTGATTTTAAGTTTAGTTTTTAAAAATTACAGTTTTCCATTTGTGAGCTATGGCAATACAGCTAGAGGAGTGCAAAAAAAGAAAAGAAAAAAGAAAATTTGACTTTTATTCTATAACTAAAGTTTTATTTTTACAGAATATTTTGGTTTTTTCAAACAAATGATCCTTTTATCCTTTGTCTTTATTAAATTCCAAAAGGTGTTCAACAAATAAAGCAGGATAGAAGTTCAATTCTATAGACCTCACTGACAGTCATCTACAGGGCTTGTCTATAGAAAAATTGTACTTGTAATTCAGAAAAAGACTTTAGGTTGTAAAACGAATTCCATATTAAGCAAAACACATTCTGTACATACAAGCGAATTCTTCGTACTTTATTTGCTGCCCCTGCTGATATAATTTAAATGTAGGTTTTTTAAAAAAAAGCTTCTAAATGGTTGGTGGGATTTTTCAATTATATTATTTTTTCTTCATTATGTTAAGTGAAATAAGTTAGACCTGGAAAGATACATTCTGCATATTCTTACTTACATGTGAAAGTTAAAAAGTGTATTTCATGGAATTAAGAGAATAGTCTAGTGATTACCAGAATCTGGAAAGGGTGTGAGAGAAGGGAAGACAGAGGATAGTTAGTGTATCTAGAAATGCAGTTAGATAGGAGGAAAGGGTTGATAACAATTAGTCATGTAAAAATAGTTACTAGAGGGGATTTTAAATGTTTCCAGCAAAATAAATGATATCTATTAAAGGTAACAGATATGCAAATCACCCCTGATCTGAACAGAACATATTGAATGCAGGTTTCGAAATGTCACACTGGACCTCATAAATATGTACAATTACACTGTGTCAATAGAAATCAGAATATATTTAAAAATAAATTATCCTCACCGGTATGAATTCTGGTTTTGGTCTACATTAAGAAGATGCCCATTTTTTCTCCAACTGATTGATGGTTTTGGTACTCCAGAAGCCTCACAAGCCAGAGTAGTCTGAACATTTACTGTTACAGTTATGTTGGTAGGACCCGGAACAATAGATGGAGGTACTAAAACAACATCACCAAGTAAGAGAGAAACACATTCAGCACACAATATGTCATTTGAAATATTTATGTAGAACTGAAATTAGTCACTGGTCACTTGCTTCATAGTTATGATGACAACAAGGCTCTGTAAGTTTAAATTGCACTGTGATATTAACCACAGTGATGAGAAAACATGGCTGCTAATTATTCATAATACAATCTCATATGCTTAAATAGCCTTTAATGATAAGGTCTTCATGAGCTCACTAGTTTAAAGTACCAAAGAGCCTCTGGCCCAATCTGGGTGTTGTTTGTAAGGGTATATTTACCATGGACCTGCACGTCTATCCGCCTACGGTCGGTCCCAGCAGCACTGGTAGCCATGCACAAATACCGCCCACTGTCAGCAACACGTACTGATCGAATATGAAGGAATCCGTTCTCCAAGATGATGTGTCTACAAGAAAGATCACAAGTGAATTCATGTGATTCAGGGTCAGAGGACACATATTTACAATATTCACAATATCCTTGGAGAAAGAAAAGGATAAAATGTAAAAGTACATAGAAGAGGAGATTGTGACTTTTTGGGAGGGGTTGGGCAAGGTACTAGAAATGGAACCCAGGGCATTCACACTGAGCTACATCCCTCCTTTTTTTTTTTTCTTTTTAAATTTTGAAACAAGATCTAACTATCTAACCAAGTTGCTCAGGCTAGGCTTGAACTTGTGATTCCTCAGAGTGGCCTCTCAGAGTGCTGGGATTACAGGCATGTGAAACTACACCTAGCTAGGGTTTGTAATTATGAATGGATTGTAATCATTAGGTAGACAAAAGCCTTAGGAATTATGCTTTTACAATACAAATTTTGATTCTCACATCATGATGAAAAGGCTAATTCTGAGTATAACAAGACCAAAATAACATTCTGGAAAAAAGATTTATATTTCTATACTAATAGAAGTGTTACCTTGCATGATTCCCAGCTAGAACAGCTCCATCCTTTCTCCAAGTTATCCTTGGGGTTGGCACACCTTCAGCAAGGCATTCCAGTATGATCGACTTATTCATGAGAATGACAAGGCTCTGAGGACCACCCTTTATATTTGGAGGAACTGAATGAGAGATACACATCAAAAAAGTCAGCCATACCGAATAACAGAGCCCAAAGAGCCTGAAGATGTTATTCAAGGTGAGGGTTCAGTCAAATATATAGCTTTGTCTACATTAATCTAGGTTAATATAAATAGGGGTTTCACTTCTGAAATCTTACTGAAGACATTCTGTATTTAAAAATAAAGAGCAGACAGGAAGGAGGATTTTTAAAATCCTGATATGCTGCATGAAAGCTGGCCATCTGTGAGAGAGGCCTGAATAAAAATCAGCTCTCATCTGATGCAAATTAAAGATGATATTTCTTATTTCTCTTTGGCCAAATGATGGCCAGAGAATGTTAACACTGGATCAACCTCACTTTAAATAGAGAACAGAGAGTGGGCTGTTTTAATGAAAAGCACATCTGTGTTTAATCATGCAAGTCACAGAACATGTATTTTATTAATCATTGAGCTCATGTGGGAATAGAAAGTCTGAATTTTAATTTTAGTATTAGAGGTATTAGTTGTGTAGGTCACTCGATATCCTGAAAAATTTCATATATTACGTGTCCAAAGGGATTGTTAGGAAAAGTCTAAATCATCTTCCTGGATTTTGGCAAGTTTTGGTATTTAGATATATTTGGGAAAATTACACTATTATGGTAGTATTTAAGAAAATTACAGTACTATGCAAATATACAGTATACTCTCAAGTGACCACCAATGAAGATAAACTAAATGATAGGCGAATTGTCACCCGGAGGCTTAGTGTAATTGATTTCCTCAGTGGCTCTGACCTGAGTGATGAAAAACATCTGGATGTGCTAAATAACTAATGGACATATATATTGTGGTCCAAGATGGAATAATGTACCTATAATTATGTGTTTTTGAAATTGAATTAGTTTGCAATATACTCTTAATACAAATACTACATATTTTCTTCTTCAAATAACATAGCCACAGGACTCATTTCATATGATCATGAAAGAAAAAAGATCATCTCTTTGAATGTCAGAGGTTAGATTTTTAAGTTGTGAAACAATGAATGATTTTTCTTACCATTTACAGTGAGGACAAATTCTCTCGTTGTCTTTCCTGCAACATTGCTGGCAACACAGGTATAATTTGCCCTGTCACCTAGATCTGCATTGTTGATTTGTAAATATCTTCCTGCAGATAGGATTCGCACTCGAGGCGTTGCCTAGATTCAGCAAGTAAAATTTATCATTAAAATGACAAATGTCAGAAAAAGAGACTATAATACTGTATTCTAGCATCATGGGTAACTCGAGTGAACTGTGGAGTTGCTGTCAGTGTGCTCAGTTTGCTCTGCCCTATCTCTTGCAGTATCAAAAATCCCTGGAACTATTTCAGTGAGTGTGGTTAAGGGCACAGCAGCGACTCCCATGATGAAAACCATTCCTGGATGAACAGGTGATTCAAATCAAGCCTTTCAGAACCTTGCTCAGGACCTCTGCTGTTGGTGTTGGGGAATCAGGCGTGTGCTCTTTACAGTAGACATTTGCCTAGTGGCAGTCTTGTCATGTGGGGGCATTCTGCCCTGAAGACATGGGCAATAAAGGCAATAAAGCACACATATGCTTCATTATGTAATCAAAGCCTCTGTATCTAGTAAGGACTAAAGCCTAAAGTCACTAATTACTGTAGTCTATAAATTGAATTGCCTTCTTTTTCATTTCAATTGGTTTGAGTTTGAGTTTGGTCAGTAACATCTGGTAACTTCCTTGCCAAGAAGTTAACTTTGGTTAACTCAGAGGAAAATGCTATTGTATAACATTCTGAAAACCAGCAAATAAACTATTTTAGTTGACAAATTTTGTGAAGCTTTTTTTTTTTTTTGTTTCCAGGCATGGGACTAAGAATTATAAAAATATGGCAACAGTGAAACCTAATCTCTGCTATTAGGTCTAACTGGGGAGATAGATGCAAAGACAATTTTAACATAAATTATAGTGTATAATGTTAGTAATCACTAAATGATGCCAGGTAGCATCCAGGACTCTTTTCTGGTTGTGCCTGTGATGGAATCACTTCAGAAAGAACACAGTAAGATTTCCTTACTAAGTCTGTGTTCACACAATTGCTAAAATATGCCATTCAGGTCCATTTATTTTCTCTAGGCCTTTCACTGTTACTGAGATTAGATAAAATCATGTTACCTCTGATGAGAATAAGTGATTTCCTAAACATATATGGAATGTTTTGTGAAACGTAATAAATTTTAAACTTTTATATGGTTAAAGCAGGGTTTTAAGCTAATGAAAATTTTTAGTGATTTTTTTTTGGGGTGCTGTGGATTGAACCTAGACCTCACAACATGCCAAGTACACATTCTTCCACTACACTACATCCCAGCCCCATGAGCGATTCTTGTCTTTCTTCCATGAATATATTACATTTACTAACATAACTCTCATTACAATTTTCTCTGATTTTTCCTTCATTTGCTGACAGTGATTCTTCCACATCTTTCCTCCAAATTCTTTCCTCAGATATAACTTTGTTCTCTAGACCCTGCTTCCTCTTGCACTGAGAAAATCAAAGTCCTCTGCCTCCAATTTTCTCCTCTTCCCACGCTGGGCACAAACACAAACTTTCTATTTCTCCATCTCCATGGAAAGTATTGACCCTTCTGGCCAAGGCTATTCTCATCACCTGCAATGTAGGTCTTATTATCTATCAAACACATCTTATCCTACTTATCTTTCTCTCTCCTATAACTTCAGTTTCCTTTATACACAAATCTCTAACGAATAGTCTACACTTGTTTTTATTTCCATTAATTCTTCAAATAACTATACCTTATGTTTTGTTCAGTCTATCAAAGAACCACTGTTCAGATCTTTAATCATCTCTGTGTTTGCCAAAGCCAATGGATACAACTTAATTTCTACCTTATGGGCTGTTCTTTTTCTTCCCTTGGTTTTCAATACACCAATGTTTCCTGCTTTTAACCCTAGCTCCTTGAGTCTTCTCAGTTCCATTCATGTTCCTTTGCTCATCTTGTAATTGTCAGTATTGTCTAAGACTTTATTTTCATTTTATTGGTCTTCTCCCATTCTAAACTTTCTAGTCAATCTCATTCAAACTTAGGACTTTAACAACAGATTATACCAAGAGGAGTATAACACCAAACATCTTTTCTTCCAAGGGAATATGGACTACCAATTCAAAGATTATTTTTGATGAAATATGAACTCACATTTTAGTGATATCTGGAATCTCTTTGGATAATATATCAATAATTCAGACTCAGAAAAATCTAAACCTGTACTCATGTTTTTTGCATCACTGGTGAATTCCTCCTTTCCCAGGGCTGCCATCACTTAGTTCTATCTGAATCAGCCTTGACCTCTCCATCATAACACTCATTGAGTTCTTTTCTTAACTCTTAATGATAGAGTAACATGCTGGAAGATGTTTCTATCTGCAGATTGGCATCATCAGAATGATCTAGAGTGACACATGGAAGATGAGACTACAGAGGAAAAGTCAGCACATGAAGGGTCTGGTGAGCTGAGCTGGATGGTTTAACCAGCATTCTGGAAACTATGAGAAACCATCAAATGATTTTAATCAACATCTACTGCAGCCATACCAAGCAATCTGCAGTTCCTGGAACATAGCATTTTTTTTTTCTTGTAATGGCTTTGTAATGCCATGACCTATGGCTAGAATCCCTTTCTTCTTTCTCATTCAGTACATAGATTGTCTTTAAAACTATACTCCTTCATTCTTTTCAAAAATTTGCAGTGCTGGGGAATCAAACCCAAGGGCTACTATATGCTGAGCCAGCCCTCTACCACTACATCCCAAGCCCTTGAACTCTCCCTTTCTAAGATGCTTCCCTGGGCCATTCTTTATCCTTCAGCCTGAGTTACGACCTTTTCCTCTCTAATTACGTAAAAGGCTGTGTGTCCTGCTAACACACAGTTTATCAGTAGTATCTGGTAATCTTTGATTTACCTCTCTATCTTTTCAGATTCAGATTCAATGAATTTCTTTAAAGTCAATAGGGTTCTCAGTAGAAATCATAATGTCTGATATTATAGCAGGACATATAATAAACAGAGAAATGGAACCATGGGAGGGTTAAGTGATACGTATAATGATGTAGCAGGTAAGTAACTCTCTGAACCCAAGTTCTACATGTTTGGTATTTGTGCTGTTTGGGAGTGAAAGTCTTCATGCATTAGGTGGTAAGGCACATAATCTCATTTTTAAATTAACTGTTAGAAGCAAGAATAAGCAACCACTAGATGTGATCAGATAGAGCATTGAAAATCACAGCTTTCAGCCAGCCCTAAATGGCTACTAAGTATTCTGTGCTGTGACACCCTGACAGCTGATAGGCATCATTGGATCATGGAAAGCTTTAGATAGTCAATTACTGCGCTCTTCAGGGATTCCAGTCCTAGTCATGTGGTATCTAAAGGTTTTACAGAGGTTTTGACCAGGGGAATTCAGTAACAGATTGGTTCTAGAGCCCTTCCAGATCAGAACAGCTCTTTTGAGATGCTGGTAGTTTGTCTTCACTCTCAGGTAAAGAGATGCCTGAGAGTTTCAAATTGGACTTTAATCCATGGGCTCCAGGAGATACAACTCCAGTGTCATGAATCTAAATATCTGTCTTTGACCCATAACCAACTACTAAGCAAAAGCTGATGGAGGAAGACAGCTGATTAAAGACCCTGTGGCTGCTTCTGCAATGCTGAATAACTGGTAGCTCCACAACTTTTTGCATCAAAAATTAATCTGCAGAGTTTAACAAAAGATTTACCTGTAACCGATCTCCATTTCTGAGCCACATAATCACAGGTGGGGGTACTGCATCTGATTTGCATTCCAATGTCACCTGTCTGTTCTGTAACACAGTGACATCCTGGGGCTCATCAGTCCCAGCAATATTAGGGGGCACTAGGTATGAAAACAAAATATCAAAGGCTTTCAATAAAAGGGCTACAATATGATCTAATCTACTGGTATTCAACAAATGTTAGTTCTTAATTTTGGTCCATGAAATAAGCATACACTTAAAATAGGACTCATTTAATTTATAGTGTAATTAACAATGTGAATTTATGTGTGTGTGTGTGTGTGTATGTGTGTGTGTGTGTGTGTGTGTGTGTTATTAAGGACAGGACCCAGGGCCTTTGGACTGAGCTACATTCCTTTTATTTTTTATTTTGAGACAGGGTCTGGCTAAGTTGCTAAATTGCCCAGGCTGGGCTCCAATTTTCTGTCTTCCTGTCTCAGCTTTTCAAAGTACCAGGATTAAAGGCATGCACCACCATAATTAGCTAATAAACTGGAAATTTAAAAAACTTTATTTAGTACTTTCAGATAGATTAATAAAATCATTCCAAAAATCACATGAATGACAGTACAAATCACATAATCACATTATTATCACCACTTGACAGGCAAAGAAATGGACATGCCGAGTCCCTTGGCCTGGTTTTACACTTGGTAGTAATTTCCTCTGAACATTAGATTTAAAATTAGCAAATCAGGAACTTCCCATCACAATTTATAGAAATGTATATACTTTCCTTGATTACAGAAATACATTTATATGTTACTTTTATATATAGAATTTACTAATTAATGGCAAATGTAATTTATGTGTGCAGGCGGGAGGGGGGACTTAAATCCTTGACAGTTTGCAATGTCTGGTCATTTAGGCTATCAAAATGAAATAAAGACCTTCTGTTTAGTTCTCAAAAAATCGTCCCCATTAAGAGTAAATCCAATTTCTGTGTAATAGTAGTGTTGGGAGAAAACCTTATTGACACAAATTTTCTAGAAGGTTCTGTAATTCAGGCTATGTTTCAAAATTATTAAAAGTCCATGTGTGTATCAACAAGAAAGTACGCTCACAGAAACTTCTTCAGATAAAAGGAATAAGCTAAGTATTGTCAATAGTGGTGAAAATCTATAAACTAAGTACCCAAAATAGGGAATTAATCAGGACACTATGCAATCACTAAAATGGATAAAATCATCTTCACCACACCATTAAGTGAGAAAAAAAGAAACTTAATTACTATTCGATGCGATCCCTTTTTTTCTTTTTAACAGACAGTGTTTTTCTATGTTGCTCAGGCTGGCCCCGAACTTCTGGGCCCAAGCAGGCCTCCTGCCTCAGCCCCTTCCAAGCAGCTGGGACTATAGGTGTGTGTCACGGCACCCTGCCGTGGTCACGATTTGGAATGAGACATTTGCTTACAAAAACATCGTATCCTTGTGTGGTAAGATTATGTGTTATTTTTATTTTCTTCATTATCATTTATATTTTATTTTAAAATGAATGACTATGTTATGCACAAACAACAAATAGCTGAAAAAACCCCCCACTGAATCTAGTCCCAAAGAGCCCTCACACAATTAAATATGAGAATGAGATGTGCAAAATATAAATTTTGAATCTACAAAGATATTTTATCATGTGCTATGGATGGAGTTGTCCCAGGTTCCACAAATTATGGCTTATTAGGTGTCTGTATGATAGAACATAGAACTTTTTCACAAATTTACCATGAACTCTCACTAAATATTCCTTATCATCATCTCCAGCAGGACTGGATGCCAGACATGTGTATCTTCCTGTATCTTCTACCTACAAAACCCAAAGAAGTAAATTATACATTTTTAATATGCTAGTCTTGGCGATGAGAATAAATATCACGTAGAACTAATGCAAGAATCCCAACATAAAACAAAATGTCATCAAAGAAGCACAATCACCAAAACAAACTGCAACATTTATGATTAGTATTATGATATTCAGTGTTGCTTCGTATCTTTATTATATGCCAACCTATGTTTTAACATGGTTTCAGGATTTGATCTAAGAATGATATCAGAAAAGTGAATACGGAAACGTCCTACGACCATATGTGATAGATTAGATGCTCAGTATTTATTGAAGAAATAAACATTCACAGGTTTAAAATACAGACTGAAAATCTCAGTTGTAGTCTTACTGAAGAAAATTAAATACGTTGATTAAATCAACAGATAAGTAAAGTATTGGTTATTACAATCAAACAAATTAACACCACATCTAACTTTGATAAATATGGTAAAACCAAATGGTAATACTGTATAGTGTTATTTCATTATAAATATAGTCAGACTGACAAAAGAATCTGCTATTATATGATTAAACTAAAACCATTTCTTTAAAAAATCCCCACACATATAAATAAGGTTCAAATTGTATGACTGATAATGTGAAATAGGAAGAAAAGGTCTAAAGGAGTAGGGGAAGTGGGAGGGGTAGGGGAGAGGAAAGAAGGGAAAAGAAAAAATATGAGAAAAGGAAAAAATGGAAACAAAGTCTTTGTAAATAGGGAGGGATGGAGGGCGTGAAGGGAGGGCAGGGGAATGGGGAAAAAACAAGAATCAAGATACATCATGTAAAGGTACAAGATCCCAATGAGGAATGTAACTGAATGGTATGCCTAAAATGTACCAATAGACAATGAAAAAAAATCCCCACACATAGTTTCTGCTAGAGGTTATTCTTCATTCATATTTTGCACATTGTGTACATGCAGTCCATACAGAGAATATGCTGGGAAACAGATGTTCTTCCTACCACGAAAAATTTATTTTTTAAAAGTAAGAAAGTCCTGTTATTTTACTACTTGAACATCCATAAAATATTGAGATTTAAGAATTCTTATATTTAAAACTGATTTATGGAAAAACTTTCTGGTAAGCTGCAAAAATTCCTTTGAAAAAATTTAGGACTAGAAGTGTTTGGAAAGACAGTTAAACATTTTTTAAAAGAACAATTTTCACAGAGTCCTTTAATTAAGAATTAAAATATCGGGCCAGGGATTTAGCTCAGTGGTTTCATCGCCTGCTGCAAAAGCACAAGGACCCGAGTTCGATCCCTGGTACCAAAAAAAAAAAAAAAAAAAAGAGAATTAAAATATCATGTGCCACTTCCTAAAAAGTAATTTTTGAATTTCTCATCACACCTTTAAAACCTCTGAACTATCAACTCTGTTCATTTCCAATTATTTTTCCTCTAGGAAATATTTCCTGTTAACTATTCTCTTCTGGATATCTACAGTCATTATTTGTGGTTACAGTTTCTAAAATGTGTGGTCTTAATAGTTCATTTGAAAAAAATTATAATTCAGCAGACGTCTTTAGAGTAAGATTTTGCAGCATTGGTGACATGCATTATAGTTCACAAAAGAGGGGAGAGTACAGTGTATAAAATTTTCTAAATCTACTGGGTCATAAAATGGTTGCCTCCTCATAATGAATCACAGACCTAGTTAATGTTTGATGGAAAATGTTTTAGGAAATTCTTGTCTCTACCACACAATTTGGATTTGCAAATTATCCATTATGTTAGGAATAACTGTATATTGCAGACAGGTAAACCAAAAGACAAAGTTCAGATAAGTAAAACATAATGCAGTAAGTGCTAAATGGAGGAATGTACAAAATGTTATGAAAACACAGAGGAGGAGAGGAACTGAGATCAGTCATGGGGCTTGATCGTATTTAATTTTCCATTTCAATATTGTTTTAAATGGTTCTCTTGTTTCATATGCAAATGTTTTGATCCAGTAAGATAGTTTAACATGACTTTGCTTTGAGTTACTGCAATATTTGGAATGGGAAGAAAAGAAGGGAATGGAAGGTTTGTGCTTCAAGAGGTCAGACAGGAAATGTGCTGAGATGCACTAGTCAGGGTTTCCAACCAGAACTAGGATTGAGACCCAGCTCCACCACTGAGCAATGGTGGATACTTGGCAGACAAATACTTAATCTCTCTGAGGTGCCTATTTCCAATTTATGGAATGGGGATGAAGACATTGCCTTGCAGAGCTGTCAGGAGTGTCATGAGTATGACAGAAAGCCCAGAGCTGAACAGCAGGCAATTTATAATCCTTAGCTCTTCTCCCATCTTCCTTTCCTTAGTAAAATTCAAAAAAACATGAATGATAATGTGGTAGTCTATGTTGAACAGAATGATGCTTATGATAACAATAGCAGCAGCAACAATTTGCTCCCCGCCCCTTTTAGCACTTACTACATATCTTTGGCACTAGTTGAAGCAGACCACATGAGATTATCTTATGAAGTCTCTCTCAGTGTTTGCATTAGCTATTATTATTTATATCTGCAGTTTACAAATGAAGGCCTTTGGGCACAGATAAAGAATCTTTGTAAAGTAAGGCTTATCTCTATTAATAGAAGAGAAGATTGCTTAAACAAGATATCCTAAACTTACTTCTTTTTAATATATTCACATTTCAGATCAAAATTAAACTAAAAGAACTAGTTTTACTGTTTTAGAAACTATATCTCTCAGACTTCCATGTTTGACAGTTTGTTTGGAAATCAAAGGTGTCCTTTGAAACTTCATATATATGCATACTGGATTGCTTTTTGCTGGTTAGGTAAAGAGCTATATGCCTAAAGTTAAAAGATTCAGGAACTATATTAACACTTTTAGAGCTATGAGAATGTCCAAAAGTTAATAAGACGATATCTAGTTTTCCTCAGAGTTTAATACTAAACACTTCATCTTCTTTCCAGTCATCTCTACACAGTTATGTACATTATAAAAGATACATATCCTTGGTAAAGCTGTAGACATCCATGATGTACTGACATACAAATGAATAATTTATTCAAAAATTCTGTTAGCAAGTGATAAGTTTAATTTAGGATAAAATAACTGTATGAACTTTAACACTTACCTGTGCACTAGATATTTGAAGAATAGAATTTCCTCTAAGACTTTGCATCTGGTCTGTCTGAAGAAGGGGTCTGCCATCTTTCATCCAGGTAATTTTAGGGGCAGGAATTCCAGAAGCAATGCAGGTGAGTTCAAGTGGGTTATTAACAATTACTGATATCTCTCCAGTTTCTTCAGATCCATTGATGTGAGGTGGTTCTGTTTAAAAATAAAAACCAATAACAAAATAAGCCTGCTGTTTGATAAAATATTGCTGAGTAGGAAAACTTGAAAATTCAACTCAAGTTTACATTCTATGATATAAACTGATTAGAATATGGAAACTGATATGATCATTCCTAGATGTCATTACTCTTTCTCACTGGTACTATTGCAAAAGGAATGAATCATACTTGTAAGAGATTACAAAGCCAAAGCAATTCATTACAATGTAATTAATTAACTGAGTTCCAGTTGCTGGTCTATCTTGCACTACTTAAAGAGGTACCTAAATGTCTTAGTGTCCTTTTGTACTTTTTAAACACTGATTAATTCTGAAAAAGCAATGGTGAAAATTATGAAACTGCTATTATCTTTTCTATGCAGAATTTTGAGTGGAAACAATGACTAAGCAGAAGAAAAACTAATTACATTTGGAAATGATTATTTCTGCACAAAACACCTCTGTAATGTGTGGGCAGAAAGTTTTCTGTTATTTATACTTCTAAAGTGACCTTTCTTAAAAGAAGGTTAAAAAATCTAAACATTGAGAAGAAACATTAGGGTTCTTTAGCCCAATTATCTCCTGTTTAGTCCCTTTAAAATAGACTTCTCTTACAATGAATTTTTTAATGTAACTTTCATAGTTCAATTTTTAGCTTACTACTTCACAAGGCAGCCAAAATAGCTGTTGGACAGCTCCAAGGGTTAGTGAGGGGTTTCTGTTTTTGTTTTAAATCAATCATAGTTTAGAATAGTGACTCATAGCAAAAGTTCTGGAGTCAAACTGAGTTTGATTCCAGGACTAACAATTACTAGTTTAGTAGAATTGGACACAGCTCTGAAATGAGAATAACAACATTATTTATTACCTAGTAGGATTGTCAGGGTTCAATGAGATAAACTATATATTTCTCTTGTGTGTTTGTTTTAGTTTTACAATTAAAAATACAAGCCTATTGTCCCAGCTACTCAAGAGGGTAGGGTGGGAGCATCGCTTGAGCCCAAGAGTTCAAGACCCTGTCTGAAAAAAAGTGTTTTTTTAAGAAAGCACTACTATCTCTACTATAGATGTTATTACTACCATCTGTTTCTTAAAAATTGGTTAGTCCTCATTTTCTTTTCTAGAAAAAGATAATCCATTAAATTTGCTCTCTTCTTCAGATGATAAATAGGAAGTCCGCTACTCCTAATCACTGTCCTACATGACCTCTTTTCGCACCTTCATTCATCTTACATAATGCTGTCAAAATACATTTTATTAAATGTGCTTTAAACTCAATTTAAGATTTTCTGATTAAAAGATTTTAATGTTGTTTACTAAATTAACTAAAAAGCCTCATTACATCTTCCAAAGCTTCCACAACATGGTCTTAATCTATCTTTATAACATTATCTACTTTTAACATACTTACATGTGACATAGGCTTAAGTTATGCTATTTTTCTCCTTGAACAAGTCCAGTCCTTTTTTATTAACGTAAATTAATTGTACAAAATAATGGGTTGCGGGGCCGGGGATTTGGTTCAGTGGTTCCGCCGCCTGCTGCGCAAGCGGAAGGATCCGAGTTTGATCCCCGGCACCGAAAAAAAAAAACCCCAAAACAAAAACAAAATAATGGGTTGCAATGTGACATTTTATACATGCATATAACATTCATTTAATCATATTGTCTCTGGACTGCCCCTTATTCTCTCTCCTCTCCATCCCGCTCCTTTTCCCTATAGTCCTTCTTCTGCTTTTACGTCATTTTACTTTTTCCCTTCTAGGTTCCACACATGAGAGAAAAGGTGTGATACTTCTCTTTTTCAGTCTGACTTATTTCACTGAACACCATGATCTCCAGTTGCATCCATTTTCCTACAAATGACATAATTTTATTCTTCTTTGTGGCTGAATAATGTTCTATTGTGTATATACCACGTTTTTCTATTTGTCTATCGATGGGCACTTGGACTGGTTCTATGATGTTGCTATTATGAATTGTGTTGCAATAAACATGGGTATGAACATATGCCAATGGTGACTGACTTTGACTCCTTTGGGTATACACCAAGGAGTGGTCCAGCTGGACCATATGGTAGTTCTAGTTTTCTTTTTTCAGAAACTTTCACACTAATTCCCATAATGGCTATACTAACTTACACACATACTAACAGCATATATAGGTTTCTTTTCCCTCACATTCTCACCAGAATTTCTTATTTTTCCTTTTCTTGTTGACAGTGGCTCTGTCTGGGATGAGAAAGAATCTCAGTGTAGTGATTTGCATCTCCTTAATGGCTAAAGATGTTGAACACTTTCAAATGTAATTATGGGTTATTTCTATTTCTTCTTTTGAGAAGTGTCTGTTCAGTTCATTTGGCCATTTTATTGATTGGGTTACTTGTTCTTTTCGTGTTAAATTTTTTGAGTTCTTTATAAATTCTGGATATTAATCCTCTGACAGATGAATAGTTTGCAATTTTCTCTCATTGTGTAGGCTGTCTCTTCATTCTGTTAATTGTTTCTTTTATTGTACAGAGATTTTTTAATTAACAAAATTCCATTTGTTGATTCTTGCTATTATTTCCCGATCTATCAGAGTCCTCTCCAGGGAGTGGTTTCTGTGACTATATTTTGAAGTGTTTCCCCTGTTTTCCTGTATTAGTTTCAGTTCCAAATCTTACATTATGCTCTCTGATTCACTTTGAGTTGATTTTGAAAAGAGTGAGAAATAGGGATTAGTATATTAACCTTCTACATGTGGATATTTAGACATCCAGCTTCCCCACCATTTGGTAAAGAGTCTGTCTTTTCTACAAAATACATTTTTGGCACCTCTGTCAAGAATCAGGTAATTGCAGATGTGTGAGTTTCTAATCCATTGGCCTACCTGTCTGTTTTTATGCCAATACTATGCTGTGTTTCTTACTATGGCTCTATAGTGTAACTTGAAATCAGATATACCACCAGCATTGTTCTTAGGATTGTTTTGGCCATTTGAAATGCTTTATCCTTCCAGTCCTTTCTTGTTCCTCACAGTCCCACTCTCTAACTGAGCATATTCAAATACTATCAAGGTTACAAGAATGTCACTATATGCATTTATAAAAACCAGAAATCCTTTCTGGATTCTTGACTAATTGTACATGTCTAACCCCTTTCACTTCCATAGCACACTGCAATACAACCTGGAAGCACCTATCTGATTCTCCATTTTATAGCAGTCTTTATTCTGTGTTATCACTCTGGACACAAAGATTAATCAGGCATAGCCTTCCCTCTCAAAAGTTTAAGTCCCTAGACCTAAAATATCACCAGCGTAGTCCTGATTTGTTCAAACCTCAGCCTCCAGATCTTTCCTGTGTTTAGGGGTTGTGAACTACTTTGCTTTATGTTTCGCCCATATGCCTTCTCCTTTGGGCACTGCAGCAGGTGTCCACTTTGGTATTTCATGATTTACAACTCTAGCTTAGATATTTCTTCTTATCTCCAGATTCAAAAATGCAATTATTAGATAAACATTTTAGTTTGGATTTTAAAAAACATTTCAAACCATTTAAAAACCAGATGGAACCAGTCTTATTCTTCAAAATCCAGTCCTTTCCCAGCATTCCATTCATCTCTGTGATGGATCTTCCAATCATTTAGTAACATAAACCAGAAACTAAGAACCATCCTTTTCTTCATCATTCTCATATATTCAAATCTATACTGAAGTCTTAATATTTCCACCTGTAATTATTTCTAGAATATATCTTCTCGTACCTCTATTACTTCAATCTGAGCTACAATGCTGTTTACTTGAATTAATGTCTCTTTCTTCCTAGTTGCAGGTGTCTGCCCAATATTATTTACTTCTTTCTTTCCTATTAAGAAGTTTAAATTTTGTTAGGGCTAGAAATTTACTAAAAAATTAATTTCCTAGCTTTTTTAGCAGATAGTAGGTGGAGTAGTATATAAAGCTTCGGACCTATGAGATGTAAGCGGGCATTTGTGGGGCTTTTAAGGATATCTGTAAACTCTTTAGAGATAAGCCTTTCCTATTTTTCCTGTTCTACTGTTGCACCTAGTGAAGTGCCGAGTTATTCTGGGGTTGAGCAGATGCTCCCTGATCATCTACTGACTATGATGTAAAGGCCGAGAGAATCGCAAATATCTGAAATGCAACAACTGCCTACCTCCAGATGTCTTAATGAGAAAAACAAAAGTTCTTTGCTTATGCCACCATACTAAGACTCTATTATTTATAGCCAAACACAATTTCTAATCATATACTAGTGTCTCCAAACCCATTCTTTCCCTGCTCCAAGGAGCTTTCCACTTTGCAAGCAAGCTGACTGGTCTTTTGAAGTTGAAACGCTATTCATACTATTTCATGACTTTTAATGATTTCTTATTGTTATAGGATTAAAACTAAACATCTGCATATGGTCAATAAAGCTCCTTGTGGCTTAGACCTTGTCAAATTTGTCTAGCTTTATTTTATATGTCACGCTCTCACGTTTTCAGTGTTCCAGCCACACTGGACCTTTTCAGAACTGCTAACAGACTATGACATCTCCCACCATGTGGATCAAATTAAGTTGAGAACTCCACTTCCCCAAGTTTTTTTTTTTTTTTGCATTCTGTGTAGTAGCACTGCTCCCCATGAAGAACTGGGAAGGCTGTTCTTTGTATATTACTCTCATGATATCATTAGTTTTTTCCCCCCTTCATTTTCTTCATTCAGAAATGCTTTCATCTGGATTCTACTTCAGGATTCTTGGAGTCCTAGAGGAATATGCTCTTTCTCTTTATGATAACATACTAGACTAGGTCTTGTATTTATAGGCCTGCATGGATACAACAGTTCTTCAATTTACTCTTCACCCTGTCACCAAAGGGATATTTTGGAAATGAAATGTGGCTGTAACATGTTCTTTCTTAAGGTTCCTTCCTTTTAATGAGGCTTGAAGTCCTTACAATCTTTTGAAGCCTCTTCATAGCTTGGCTTCTGCCCATATACATTTCCTGCCTGTCTCTTCCTTTCACATTCAGTTTACAGGAGTACAAACTGACAGCTCAAACTCCATCATCTCTAGGTGACCAATGTAGGCAAACTCTCTCTTAATCTCTACAGTTCACCTTTCAAGCCCTTGAAGAGCTCTAATCTGAAACTTACTGTCCCACAGAATGATCCTTAACCATACGATCCTTAGAACACTCAAAAGCAATTACATTTTCAGTATCTGCTTTCCTTCAGATGTAGGAATTTCAGACCCAAGACATTATCTTTCTTATTCCATGATACATTCAAGTACACACAATGCACCACATAGGAGGCATCCGCAATTATTTGCTCAATGGTGACGAGAAACATGCCTGGTACATAATGTATATTCAATAATCCTTAATATGTAAGTAATGAAGCACCAGATCACACATGCCATTTATTTTGATTCATATTATGTGAAGTGATGTACCTGCCCCCATCCTACTTCTGCCACACTTGACATTTTCTTGTCTTGTGCCTCTAAATATTCTGGAGAATTTCCTCCATGACCAGCCATCCTTCATTCTCTGGTAGTCCCAGGTATACCTCGTTGTCTCTCTTTGTATATTTAGGTATTGTTCTTCCACTCTCTATTGTTAAACTTCCTATTAATTCATCTTGAAAGTATCTAGTTCAGTTCAATTCAATCCAACAGACACATATCAGGAGCCTCTGAAGGCTCCTAATGTCAGCTGTCATGCTAAGCACTAAGAATGCAGCGATAAGTAAGATGCACACTGCCTCTGACCTCATGAAGCTTAACTAGAGATGAAGCAGATTTTTAAAGTTATACAAATAATTAAAACTTAAAAGTCCTTAGAGAAAGATTACACTGTACTCTGAAAACATATGCTAGCTTCTCCTAAGTAAGACTCTTGCCCAAATTGCTTATGCTGTTCTTAGTAGGATGCATTTTTGCGTTATGTAAGGACCCTGGCATTTCCTCTACATCATAGTGTAAAAAACAAAAAGAATCTTGATTACTGAAATAATCCATTTCATTCACCCTCCTTTCTCTTCAAAGGATAAAAATTTTTACTTCATGGAAAAGATGTGGTTTTCTCTTTATGCTATTTGTTTGCATGTAAAATGTTGGAATGTGTACTTTATTTACTTTAAATGCTCATAAGAGAAAATAGATCTAAACTATTTGAAGTGATGTAATCTACAGATTGGATCACTTAAAACTGTTTGGGATAACACATAATGGTATCAATAGTATCCTATTCCATCAAATTTTCTATTATCAAATGTGTTTTAGTCCTTGGAAAAAGTTAAAAAGTTAACTATTAACTGGTTATAAGATTTCTCTCAATGAAGAATCTTTTATGAGTAGGAGTTTTTAACTTTTCAGACAGATAAGAAACACAACAATCTAACATGCTATAAATGAGAGATGCTATAAATTAGAGATGAACTATGAAAGAGAAATAGAATACAGTAAAGTTTGTACAAATTGTGTCCTGCCGCAAATCTAAGAATTACACTTATCTACTAAGCCTTCACTGTTGCTGATGTCTCAATTATTTTCTCTTTATGAGATGTTTACATACCCAGGACCTTCAGGATAAAGTGCTTGCTGACTTCCCCAGCATCACTGGAGGCCATGCAGGTGTACCTTCCTGAATCTTCAGTCTCTGCTTTGATGAGCTGCAGGACCATTCCTTGAGTACTGATCACCAGATGAGCATCAAGCTCCAGAGGTTGGCCATCTCTAAGCCAGGACATGCTGGGAGTGGGGTTCCCATCTGTGATGCAGGTCATAGAGGTGGAGCTGCCTTTTAAAATTGTGATTTCTTCTGTTCCCATTGCATTATCCATATGTGGTGGTACTATGTAGAAAATGAAAGTCAAAATTTTATATCTATTGTAATTTGAGAAAAAGTAAATAAGATATTTAAATAATTCTATAGTCAATTTAAATAACTTCTACGATCAATAAAATATATACTAAAATAGTATATCATAAAATGGTAACTTTGTTTTAAAAGATCTATTAGGTATGCTAATATTAATCATCCAAATATTAGCAATGAAACCTCAAAATTATTTTCTTGTAAAATATACAAGTAATGTTTTTCCATTTTGATGATTTTTCAACTTCTTAGATTTGTCTCTTAAATTTCTTATGGAGTAGTTTCAGTATGCAGAATAAATAAAATAATATAAAGTTCTAGAGTAAGTTTTATACAATCCAACTTTTCTGAGATGTTTCTGGAGATTAAGAAATATAGAAAAGCAAACCTCAATATTTCAGAAATAGAAAGTTTTAAGTTCTTTATAGACACATACATTTACAGAGTTATATATTCACAATATCTATTCATATTTTAAATACTCTAAATGAACAGTTAATATTATTAGAAAACAGTCTTGATTTTTCTTTGTATGAGAAACTGGTCTTCTGCCTGGATGGAAATTCTATTTAAAAATTTTTAGATTTTTTTCTTTTAGTACAAAATACCAGAATATAAGAATATTTTGCTACACCGTATGGCCCAATGAAAATGAATCCCCCGGAAGAAAATACATTTTCCCTTAGTTAGCAAGATTCTAATTCAAGAATTGTTTTTGATAGAGGAAAGTTGGATTACTAAATATGTGAGGAAGTGAATTTCTAATGATGAATCTGTTACTTAATACTGGACATGTAGTAAAGCCATGGAGTCTTTCTGTGACATACCGAACACTTGAAGGCTGTAATGCTTAGTATCCACCCCAGCTCTGTTGGAGGCCACACAAGTATACATAGCGACGTCAGAGACCTGAGCTCTCACAATCCTAAGGAACAGTTTGATCCAACATTTCATAATTTGATCCCATCGAAATGTACATGAATGAAATAATTACTATTTATAAATAGGTTATAGAAGGTGATTTATGTCGAGAAATTTTAGTTATAAAGCTTATAACCATCTATTACAAAATATAAATGCCTCAAATACAACTGATTCCATAAATGTCATTAAGCAGTGATGACAAGGTACCAAAAATAAAACACAATTTGGAAGGTAAATATTTTTCATATACATATTAGTAGCAAACAATGCTAACACAAAAATCACATGATCATAGTAAGTATTTTCTACCATTTGGTCATAAAATATTTTAGCTAAAATAATAGTTCTTGGAAAGATATAGGTAATAGTAAATCATTTATGAAAGATCCATTTTATACAACTTTACTAAAACATGAGAATTTAAATAAGCAAAAATAGTTTCAATTTTATATTTTTTATCCTTCCTCTGTTAAAAATCTAACAAAAGAAGATGGAATTAGGAAAAGGTTGGGAAAAAGCATTTCTTAAACACTGTTTAGGTGAAAGAAAATTTAACAATTTCAGTTATCTGTTTAGGAAGTCACATAAGATCTGACCTGATGGCCTGTCCTGCTGACAGCAACCGAATATGGGAGGAAAGGGGCAGAGGAAGCCCGTTCTTCAACCAGTTTATCTGTGGAGGAGGTGTCCCTGTAGCTCTGCATTCAATATTTATTGAAGTGTCGACCAAAGCTATTAGTTTCTCTGCCTCTTCTTTATTACCTCTAATTTTAGGTGGAACTATGCATGCAGGAGAGAGAGAGAGAGAGAGAGAGAGAGAGAGAGAGATTGACTTGATTCAAATCACTTCAACTGCCCGCCTTTCTGCTTTCTATCTCAAATGGAAATAGCAATGGCATTAGATTTAAAACTCAATGCTCCAGACACCTGCAGCCCATTACTCAATTCTTAAAGTAGCACAGCCAAAGAAGGGTGTATTTCATATTTACCATAGACATTCAAGTTAAATATTCGGTCATCTTCTCCAGCAGGGTTAGTAGCCACACATGTGTATTTCCCCATGTCGGATGTATGAGCTCCATAAATGTTTAATGTGTTGCCATTTGCAGTCACTCTATGGAAAAGGTCATAACAGAGGTACTCAGATGATGAATGTGGACTTAACATCTGGAAAACCCATTTTACATTATTTTATTCTTTAAAAAATAACAACATAAAATGAAGTCTTCATCTTGGATATAATGATTTGAATTTATTTCATTAAGTACATGGAAGCCTATTAAAGTCAGAGCCAGAAAAACTGATGGAGATTAAAGGCAAGAACTGAAATTATACACTAATAGTTTTCATATCCATCATTTCCTTATGAGAAAAAGTGAATATACAGTCAAGTTAGGAACTTCTCTATCCTAACCAGTGTGAGAGATATCTTCTTCTCAGTTAGAATATTATATTTTTAATAATCAATATGGGGTTTGAATTAAATAAAATTATTTTTAAATTCTGGCATGGAAATGGAACACTGTTAAGGACAATTAGAAACTGAAGAAATTATACATAAAAAATCTGGCTATAAGTGAATAAATAATAGCTTAATGAGATAGAACAGAACAGGCTAATTTATTTTAATTATGACAAGCCAGTATCATATATGGACACCTCTTACAAATTTTTTCTACAAATTGCTAGTTTTCTTTTGAATTGCATAATAATAAATACTAAATTTATCATTAATCAATGATATCTAAGTTAAGTTTATTGCATTATTGGTTTTCTTTACCATAATTACTAAATAAAACCCCCTGTGCCTTAGGAAGAGAATAAAGTGTTATGTAGAGTTATTCCAAAGATAATGATTTCATTAGAATCTCCCAGTATCAAAATAATCCATTTCTACTATATCATGTTATTAAAGTCATATTTTGACATTGATATTGAGAACTACAATATCATTACCTGACCTAGTTGTACTTTTATTTTTTAAAAAGTGAAATTTAAAAATTCATGACTTTAAACATACTGTGAACTAAAAAAGCAAATTGCCATGTCCAAAGCAAAGTATTAAAGTGACCTTGAGAAATTATTTTATTTGATCTACAAATTGTTCTACCTATACATCAATATATAATGGAATAGGGAGCAAATAACAAAGCAGATATAAAAATAAGCAAGTTTAGTATGTTAATGTAAGAGAAGTGATAAACTTTAAGTTCCTACGTACAATTATTATGTAAGATACTTTGGTCCCACCAAGTTTCTAGTACTTGGTCTGGAATATGGTAGCAGCTTATATAATAAAAATTATTACATGTTAATTATTCAGAAATGTTCACTTAAGGAAAATAAAATGTAAAATGTATCATGTATCTCTAAAATATTATTTGGCAATTTACCTCATTTTTTACAGGGGACAGCCATCTAAATTTTAACATAAAATGAATACAAAGAAAATAATATTGTCTAACTTGAGATTGCACATGTTCAACTCATTGACTACAAAATATATTCCAAGCTCTTAAATATAAAATATTGGTTCAAAATAATAAATTTTGTGATGCATTTAATTGCTGTCTGCTTACTCATATAATTATTCTGGTATGTTCATGTCATGGAGCTTTGTGATGAAGTAGTCGTATACAATGTAGAATACTGGACTGTCATTCCAAAGGAATTTGTTGTTGCAAGTAGCAAGAGACCCTCACCACATTATTATTTCATCTTTTTGTGGAAAGAGTTACAAGTCTCAGCTGAAAGTGGGACTTGGACAAACCATTATAATGAATGAACTTGGTTACGATATTGTACCTCATTGAAAATGAGCCAAGTGATACAGCATGTATGCAAGTCGATCGTTTCAAGACACAAAATTGTATCTAAGATTACTGAATACTTTGTGGGATGAAACTGGTTTGCTTTAGCAGGAAAGAAAAACCAATTATGAAACAGACTTTAGTATGAACATTCTGAGATTGTAAAAACATAATCAACAGTATTTAACTAACATTTTCAGGAATGAGTGTCTCAGGAGATTTTATAAAGGAGTTGATGATTAAGGGTCTCACATACACAATAATACACTTTTGAGTGTTCTCTATAGAAAATTTTTGTGTTGAACACTCTAATAATTATCTTTACTTTTTGTGAATAAAATGAAGGCTAAGATCCAATGAGATGGAATTTTATATTATTATTATTGTTATTATTATTATTCATGTGAAATTTGAAGCATAAAACATTGTAGATGACCTTACAATTTATAATGGAAGATTTGTTTTAAACATACTGGATTTTTTCTGTTTCCTCATTAGCTATAGACTTTCCATCTCTAAGCCACTGAATAACTGGGGCAGGAATGCCATGTGCATCACAGACCAGCTCAACATCTTCTCCCAGAAGGACACTGACATCACTTGGAATCTCAGCACCAGCAACACTTGGAGGAACTATGGAGATAAAAGCAGTTTCATTAACGAGGATATATATTTTAATGAATGCAACACAATTACAGAACATGCTATTTCCAAATCATATTCTTCCTAGATTAAGATCAAACTAATATTTTCATGAATTTATTTTAAATGAGGAAGATAAAGGAATCTGATCACTTCAATATTCTTGGTGTATTTGTAAACTGATATATGATTATCTATTCAAAAGGGCCAGTGATAGATCTACCTCATGGGTATCATTTTTAGATTAAAGAATGATTAAATTAGATTCTTACAGTAGATTATTGATGGTTTATGATTAATAGAGTTCAGGAGAATCTGTTTTATAAAATGTTGGCATAAAGGTCTGAGAAAAGTATCTAAGAACTTTCCATTAACTTGTTTAATTAGGCATATTATAATTTTCACTATCCAGGAGCTATCCTTTTCTTTCATTATCCTTTCACTATCCTTTTCTTTCATTAAGTCATTTTTGGTTTGTACTTTAATGATGTGATCAAGTCATAATAAGTAATAAAGATATTAATGCTATCAGACAGGAACACATTTGAATTCCTATTCTATTAAAGAAATGTGCTGGTGGTAGCCCACGTTACCTCATAGGATCCAATTTTGCACATATTCCTTACTCTGTGTTCAACGATATCATGTTGGTAGTTGGAAATAGGCTGTGTGGTCACACTTCTACCAAGAAATTGGCAAATGATTTGCTACAAATCAGGATGCTTTTGTTTGGAGAATCAACTGTTAAATACTTACCAGTGTATGACTGCGTAATTGTTCCAAGTATCATTTTAGTCATCCACATGATAATAACTACAGTAAATTTGCAGAATTTAGAGCACTCAAGAAGTCGAGTAGAATGTTAATGACACTTCCTAGAAGTAGTGTCTAATATATGAGTATGACAAGCACATAGACCCTATGTGCATATGTAATCTCTAGTCTTAAAAACAATTTAGTACAGAGAAAGTCTGGTAAAATGTTTGGTCATAAAACATACCATATGACTGATATTTATTATTAATAAATTAAACATAAATAAATATCCATTTTATGACATTGAATCTCTGAGTAATATTTCTTTTATGCTTCTGAAATATCAAGCATCATTAATCATTACAAAGAGATCACAGATTCTCATAAATTTCTTTTTCTTTACTTTCAATTATTTTTGGAGCGAGATTTAGAAAAGGATACAACAGATATAATATTCACAGTTAAATGCATAATTTAGGGGAAATTCTTTACCTACTAACTGTAATAAATTAGAAAAAAAGGTATTTTAATTTAGTTCCAAGTTAGACTTCCATCTCAATTTAAATATAAACCCAAAGGGCCAGGGATTTAGCTCAGTGGTGCCACCGCCTACCTGGCAAGCGCAAGGTCCCGGGTTCTATCCCTAGTACCAAAAAAAAAAAACCCAAAACAACAACAACAACAACAACAACAACAGCATAGAGCTAAAAATCATACTCAGAGGTTTATTTAAAATAAAAAGAAATAAATACCCTTAGCAGTAATTAATACTATGCTGGAATGTAGTTGACAATAATTAAACATTTGTTTGAGGAATCAATGCTCTTTATTCTGATCCCAAAACTGTATAAAATTCATAATTATTCAAAATGTATCTACTTTCTTACCTGTTATTAGACCATAGTAAAACTTCCTAAGTTGAATCTTTTCTATACAAATAAAAATTGACTTACAGGTATAGCATCAAAATAAACTGTGCTAGTTTTTAATAAATAGGTATAATTCAATAAAATATAATTACAGGAAGTTAATAATTTCACTTAAAATGGAAACAATAGAGATTCATTAATCTATTCTTTTCTACAATTATGTCAATTATCTTGGAAAGAGAAGGTAGGAACAACAAATTGACAAAATATTTGTTGATCTAAAGCTATTTTGAGTCAATTACTGTGATCCCAATAACTGTAGTAGTTTGTATTTATAGACAGAATATAACAAAGATTGATTATCATGTGGATGACATACCTTGTATCAAAAGAATAAAGTTTTTCTGTGCTTTCCCCTCTATATTTGATGCGATGCATGTATAGTTTCCACTATCTGAATGCTGAGATCGGGCAATTTGGAGTTTGCTACCCCCAGACAAAATGTGGACCTCGAGTGAGTCAGAGTTTTCTGTAGATGGAGACAAAGCAAAATAAAAAGAAACTTTTAATTAACATCTCTACAATCCATGACAGTAATGCTTTATTTTATATTTCTTTAAAGTTTTCTCTTTGTACTTTGATTTTAAATGAGAATCATTTTTTAAAAAGAGAAAGACTGGGCTAGGGATTTAGCTTAGTGGCACTGCAGCTGCCTCGCAAGCTCAAGGTCCTGAGTTCAATCCCTAGGACCAAAAAGTAATAATAATAATAATAAATAAATAGATAAATAAATAAAATAAAAAGAGAACGATAATTCTTTACAAAATGAATAACAATTTTACAATAAGTCTATTTTATGAATCTGTATTTCAGTACAATAGATTTTCTTCAACTAAACACAGCTATGAGCATAATACTGAAAAATTTCTAGTTTATAGACACAGTGAATTATGATCAACAACAACAACAACAACAAACAGCCACAAAGCACACAGCTCCATTACCTAGAGGCTTGTGGTTCTTTAACCATGTTATCATGGGAGGTGGGATCCCAGTGGCATCACAGGTCAGGGTCACTGGATTACTTATTGTCTCCACGACCACTTCTCTTTCAGGCCCTTCAATACTGGGTAGCACTGTAAAAAGACAAGAAAGTCATGTGTCCTCATTAAGTTAATTTAGGACACGTTCTTTCATTTGCATATCTGGGGGAAAAAGAGTTGTATTAGAGGCAGATGCTCACCATATACATTGAGGTGGAAATTTTTATCATCTCGTCCTGCTACATTTATAGCTCTACATACATACTGGCCTGTGTCAGATACCTAAAAGAAAAAGATACTATTGTATGTGCTCCATTAAGTTATAGATGACCAATCACACTGTTCAAGTGTAGATTAAATCACCAGTCATCTTTATGTTCAAATGTCCCACTTCTAATTGCCTTCTACAATCCTGTGACTTTATTTTTTAATGAAAATAAGGTCAATGCTATTGCCTATGTATTCTTTAATAAACATCATTTCTCACTGTAGTAAAAGGAGTATGTGACATCTGGTTATCTCTTCTACAACCCCACGAGACAGTCTTAATGTCAAGCAAGAATAAAAGATGCACCTCAGCTTTCTTGATGTGCAGCATTTGTTCATCAGCTAAAATCTCCATGTGAGTAGACTCTGTTATTATCCGCCCATTCTTATACCAGGTGACAACTGGAGGTGGGACAGCATTTGATTCACATTCCAATGACACCGAAGTTCCCTCTCTTACATTAACTACAGAAAGAGACTCACTGTCATGATCCTTAATGCTTGGGGGCACTGAGGGAAGAAAACAAAATATGAGAAATGTTTTTTTTAAGTTCTTCAGACCAAAATACTGAGTATCACTGTCAAAATAAAATAATATCACAAAGAGAGTGAAAACAAACCATAAACAGTCAAGGAAACCTTTTTCCTCTTTTCACCAGCTTGGTTGATAGCTATACAAGTGTATTCACCACCATCAGATACCTTGGCTCGAATAATCTGTAGAGTTCGACCACCTGTGGGAAAATATAATGTAAACTGAAATATAGAGGTTGTTCTAATAACTGGTTTATCACAAGGTAAATGACAAAATATATGAAAAAATTACATAATTTTCCTTACAGTAAAATTTATATAGAAGCATCCATATTTAAAATGAAATGATTGAATCAATTTTGTTTGATTTTTAAAACATATTGATTCTAGTTTCTTATAAAGGAAAACACCCAGGATTTTTCTAACAAGTAACATGGATAGTTAAACAATTTGATATAGGTCTTCATGAGCAAACAGATGTTGTACTACAGCTAAAATATGTTAACAAGTGTTTTCTGAATTTGTTTTCCACAGAACAGAGGTAATTGCCTGTCTGTAGTTTATGATCTCTCTATCATCTGTCTATCCATCCAACTATCCATTTCTTTCCCTTTATCTATATCATCTATCTATCCATGTATCATCTGCATCTATCCTCAAGAAGCACTGAGATTGATTAAAATTTAGTAATTTTATACAATGAAAGTACTATTTAACACCTATTTAACTCACAATTGTTAAGCTGTTCTGTTTCTAAATTTCATCGTTTGTAGAATGATAACTTGTTGTTGAACATTTACACTAAAATCATTTATTAAAAAATCTATAAAATCTTACTCTAATGTTCCCAGCTCAGTAAAGAGGCATTTACAACAAATAAACAGAGAAAGGCAAAGTTTGGAAAGAGACTAAGTTTAATGCTATCTGTCTTAAAATAGAGGAAAATGAGAATGTTTGGCTTGCTTTGTACGAATAATAAGTTCTTTACCAGGGACAATGAGAGCATTTGTGTTTGGCTTGATAGGCTGTTCATTCTTGAGCCAGCTGAGATCAGGAGGTGGAAAACCAGAGACCTCACAGTTCAAAGAGATGAAATTGTTCACGACAACAGTGAGATTTTCAGGGTTAGGACCAATTACACTTGGAGGAACTGTAAAAGTATGTACATCAAAAGTGAAATATGATGTTATCAAGATTCAATTTCCAATTTACTACATGTAATTCTACCCACTATACTCTGCTAAAACACTGAGTGAATGATTCTGTTAACTATACAGCTGTCTTATGAGTTTTCTGATACCTTCATCAAAGTCATGTCTACCAAATTTGTTTTTCTCAACTGAGAGTATCAGAATTTTCAAAGTCAGAATTATTCTGCATTTTATTTGTAAAATATACAGAACAATTCCTAAGATAGTTTGTCAAAGTAGGCAACAGTTTAGCTGGTCTGTCAACTTCACTGGCTTCGGAGAAGCCTAAGGGGTTAGGAAAGGACACTTTTGCACGTCTGGGTGGGTCATGGAGGCTTGACTTTGGGTACTAAATCTGGTCCCTGGTCTCCGGCTCTGTGGTGTTCTGCGGTTCCTTTGCTTTTCTTCCCACTTGCTATGATCTGAGCAGTTTTGTTCCTTATGTCCTTCTGCTGTGTTTTGTCTTGGAGCAAAGAGACCATGGACTGAATCTTTGGGAACCTGAGCCAAATTAGACTTCTCCTTCTGTAAGGTGTGAGTGTCAGGTACTGTATCTCAACAGTAGGAAAATTGACCAGTATAGGAAATTGGTACTGGAGAAGTGGGGTTGTTGTGACTATACCTAAGCATGTGGTTCAGAAGCCTTTGGAACTGGTTTGCAGGAGGAATTTGGAAAGTTTTGGAGATGTGTGCTGGAGAAGCATAGAATGCTATAAGCAGAGCTTGATGGGCATTTCTGGTCATAGCTTAGTAGATCAGAATGCTGACAGGAATGTAGACAGTAAGAGCCATGCTCATAAGGTTTTAGATGGTGATTCTCTTGGGAATTGAACTTAAGGTCACGTGTGTTACATTCTAACAAAGAAATTATCTACATTTTCACCATGTCCTGAGACTCTGTGAAAGGCCAAATTTAAAAGCAGTGAACTAATTAATTTGACGAAGAAAACTTTAAGGCAATCCAAATTTCAGGCTTCAGCGTGGGTACTGTGGACTGCTTTTGGCCAGATTTATGTTGAGAACTGGAAGAAAGCAGCAAAGCAGAAGGATCTGAAAAGTTCAAATTGTGCCCCAAGGAGAACCATGTGTAAAGTTACGCCAAAGGAAGTGTGAATGCTGAAGAGACTAGTGTCATTAAAAAGACATCAAGTACTTTCAACTGGTAGAGGAAGAAAGATATGTTGAGGGCATCAAAGAAATTATCAAGACCTCGCCTAGCGCAGCCTCAAGGGTAAAAAAGTGTGAAACCTAAAATCTGTAGGCTTTCTGTTCAAGAAGGACTATCCAGGAAATTGGTTTCCCAGGATTAATTTCACCATGATTAGCTATCCAGGTACTCAGAGACTGCTAGAGCCATGGCTACTTCTTGCACTGGTGGCAGTCCTTGGCACTTTCTGTGTTATGAAGGTTTTATAGGTATGTATAATGCAAGAGTTATGGTGTCGCAAGGCTTCCACTCAGATTACAAAATAGGGCTAAGTGGCCATGCAACGTGCTGAATAGAGGGTGCACAAGGTTGTGGCAAGAGGTGCAGAGGAGGCCCCAGGAGGTTAAAGGTGTCAGAAACAAGGAATACATGCTGAGAAAAGCAGCAAGCAGTGAGTGGGCCTAGTTCAATAGGGAAGCTATGTGAGGTGCAACTAGCAAGGTCATTGGGGTGGGGCTGCCTAAGCCTGTCAGAACTTATATCTTTCCACCATGTCTGGATGCCAGACATGGACTTAATGTTTGCCCTGCTGGGTTTCAGTCTTCTTTGGTTCTATTCCTTTTCTATAACCCTATTCCTTCCTTTTGGAATGGGAATGTTTACCCAGTAACAGTATATTGGGACTATGTAACTTGATTTTTGAATTTTCAGGGCTTTATAGCTAAGAGTTTGCCTTGAATCTTAGAAGAGACTTGTGACTTGGACTTGTGAACAATGTAGAACTCCTGAAACTTTGCAGAAGGCATCGGTATGTTCTTGGTGATACACAGGATAGTTATATATGTTAGACAGAGCTATGACCTTGTATTTATTTGGACATTAAATATGGTTTAAGGATACGTGCTCAGATGTCAAATTGACAAGGGGTAGAATGTGACAGTTAAGATGAACTGTCAACTTGATTGCCTTCAGAGACAACTAGAAAATTAGTTGAGCACACCTCTTGGTGTGTCTGGGTGAGTAATGGAGGCAAGACTTGGGTATTATATGTGGCCCCTTCCTCTCTGGTGCTGTTACCCTGCTCTGCTTCCTGGCCACATGAACTAAGTAGCTTTGCTTGGCCATGTTCTTCCACTATCATGTTTCAGCCCCAGGGCCAGCAAACCATGGACTGATCTCTCTGGTTCCATGAGTGAAATTAAACCTCCCCTCCTTTAAATTGTGGATATTGGGCATTGTGTTCTAACAAAGGGAAATTTGATGAATATATGGTACAAAGGAAGACCTAACAGTGCTTTTTACAAAGTACATTTGAATACTCTAATTTTAAATATCATATAATTATTTAAAGTTTTTATTTTCCTGTTACAGTAATGATAGAGTGAAATTTTAATTTTAACATTATCTCTTTATCAATAAATCATATACATTATCTTTAAATGTAAATAAATGATTTCCAAGGTAAGCCAAAATCCTTTTAAATAAATAAGACTATTGCTATTGTTCACAACCAAAAAAAAACAATTTGAAAGGCAAAAGCAATGCAGAAGAAAAGTAGAATAGAAAAAAATGAGATTAACAGTCCAAAGCTACTTATGTACATTAAAACATACATATAGAACAACTGATGCTTTCTTTATAAACACATATATGGAAGGCATAGTGTCATACATACTTGAATGATTATTGTGTAAAGAGGGAAAAAAGAAGCAAGGAGGGGATATAAAAATGGATTACAAATGAATGAAGAGATTAATAAATAAAAGTAAAAACGAGTCTTGTTCAAACTAATTAAATTGAGACAGTAAAAGTGACACAAGAACTTAAGAACTCAATAAAATGCTTTATGATTAAGACCAATATCTTAAAAAACTTCAAAAGCAAAATTAAACATTAAAAGGGCAAAATCATCTGTTTTTCTTTAATGTCATATGGTTTCTATTTTAATCCAGTAATTAATCTCTGCTGTTAATTCATTCATCAAATATTTATTTAATGCTTACAGTACTCCAATGTGATGTAATGTTAAAAATGCAACAGACAAAAACCATATAGAGTTGATAATTTGGTGATTAATGACAAACATTGAACTAAAAGTAACAGGTAACAATTTTTTGAGTGGTTATGTTGTGCCAGGTAGAGCTCTAAACACCTGACAAATTCTATCTCATTGAATCCTCATATACTTCATGTGTTACATACAGTTTTTATCCTCTTATTATAAATGAGGAACCTGAGATATAGAGAGGTTAGAATCTTGCCTAACATGTTATATAGCTCGTTACTGGAAGAAACAGGTCTGGCTCAAGAGCTCTTGCTCTTAGTCATTGCTCAATACTGCCCGAAATCATAGGCGTGAAGGGTCTTCATCAGATGACTGGAGTGACAATAGGGGCCGAACCTAGTATGGGAATTAGAAGAGAAAGTGCCATTTAAGAGATAATTGAAATATGACCAGTAATAAGTGGAAGAGAGAAAATGAGTATGTCTTCTAGAAGGAAGGTTCAGCCATATGAAGGCTGAAATAGAGGGAAAACATGGCCCCTAAAAGGCTATCATAACCAGAGTTTAAAGAGGAGGATGGGCATGGGGAGGCAAAGAATTAGAGGACTAAACAAAGATAAATGGTATAGGGTCTCCCAGGCATCATTAATATTGCTGAAATACAGACTAATGAATGGGAAACAGAAGAATAGTTTAACCAAAAATTAATTTAAAAGATATTATCTAGCTATAGTAGAGATTATGGATTGGAAAGCTTTAAGAGACCCTGAAAGACTAGTTAGGAGCCTAGTGCTATAGTATGTGCAGAAAATTATTGAAGTTGTGTGAAGGATGGTATGAGAAATAACCAACAAAGGGGGTGGATCCCAGCATATTTTGTAGATAGGATCATGAGGAATTACTGGGATGAGGTTGAAGGACTAGGAGTACTCAGGGATGACAGCTATTTTTGTGGCTTGAACAATGGGTGGATGTGATACCCTTTGCTAAGACAGAGATCTCTGAAAGAGGAACACATTTTTTTCTTAAAAAATTTTTAAAAAAATGTTTATTAGTACATGTGTGCAGTACATGATGACTGCATTCGCCTGAGCAGTTGGTACAGTACATGATACATCTTCATTCTGCTTTCATCCCCTTCCCGTCTTCCCTCCCTCCATATTTTGGTCTCTGTGGAAGAGAAACACACTTTTGGAAAAGAGTTTGAGTTTAGTTTTACATGGATGTTTTGGGGTCATTGTTGGACATCTGTGTCTGTAAGAAGTGAATATTGGGTACAAGGATATGGCGTTCCCAACAGGGAAGTAGACAGAGATCAACTTTGGAAACTATTTGCACACAGACAGTAACGAATTTTGGGAGTACATGAAATCATCTAGGAAAAGAGTGGAAGAGAACAAAGTCTGAAACTTTGGGAACTAAAGTTTAATAGTCAAGTAGAGGAGAAAGAACCAGCAAGGGCAAGTGGAAAAGATGGACTAGAAAGGCAAGATGTGTCACAGGCACCAAAGGAGAATTTTTTTTTTTTGGTACCAGGGATCGAACTCAGGATCTTGCACTTGTGTGACAGGTGGAGGAACCACTGAGCTAAATCCCCAGCACCCAAAGGAGAATTTTTGACAAAGATGGTGGCTAAGATAATCAAATGCTCAAAAGAAAAAAAAAGGTACAAAATGGAAAGTGCCCACTGGACTTATTAATAAGGGTGTGATTTCATGAACTCTGTGAGCATATTCAGTGGAGTCGAGAAGGCAGGATATGGAACACAGTGATGAGAGGGGAGTAAAGAAATGGACCATTTAATATATGTAGCTATTAGGGAAGTTCATCTTGAAATTGAGAAGAGAGTGAGGAAGGTAGCTGAAGGGAAATATTAGGTGTAAGACAGGACTTTCTTAAAATGGAAGATACAAGTACATTTAAGTTTTGAGAAGGAGCCAGTAAACAGTGAGAATTTCAATATTCAGAAGAAGGAGTAGATGGTGAATTTTCAAGGTTACAGGCAGGAACATAAAGTCAAGTTCATTTTTGGATTTTGGAAAGTAAAGGAAAGCTGTCTCTTTTGCTGTAACAGGAGAGAAGGAAGAAATGGCAGAAAAAGATGTGCAAAGATTTGATGACAGGCATTTGAGGTTGTCTCTGGGATATGTCTTCTCTTTCCCATATAAAACAGGTGAAAGCATTTACCAAGAGAAGGTAAAGGCAGCTGTTTTAGACTGACTATGCCCCCCATTAATAGTGTAAAGCCCTAACTTCTAGTTTAACTATATTTGTAATTATTATATAAAATAATTTAAAAAGTGGGCTTCCTAGATTTATGCTTTATAAATCCTATTAGCTATTACTGGACGAAAAAGAGGAGACTGAATGAATGCAGACTCCACATATTGAGCAAGTTAAAAAACAGAAAATAAAACTATATAATCTAAAACATGGTTTCTCTGCTTTTTCAAGAACATCCTAACAGATATTTGTGGAAATGAGGTCTTACCATGAACATTGAGATTAAAAAATTTCTTGGCACTTCCAGCTGTGTTCTCAGCAACACACACATACCTGCCGATGTCAGTTATTTGAGCATTTAAAATCTAAGGGAAAAATGAATAAATTATAACTGAAACTTTTAATAAAGAAACTTGTGATACATTTCCTTATTTTTTAGAAGAAGTATTTATATATTTTTCTAGTTAATACTGGATGAATATAAGAAAATGGAATTTTTGCATATACTAGCATCAATGCTGGCTTTGATTAGACAGGTCCATTAAATATTTACATTATTTACAGAATTTCTAAACAGAAAAAGCAAATTTTATATTCTCATAATACATTGACAGTAAAATATCCCAAATTATTCCCTTGGTTCCTTGTCTATACTTCTAGCCATGTGACTTTGAAGTTTTTCCCATTCAAAGGTGGAGAGGACATGTGGAACTTATGGTGAGCTTTTAACTGGCTTTGACTAACAGAATGTGAAGCAAGTGATGGTGCATCTTTTCAAATATTAGGAGTGGGGCTGGGGATTTGGCTTAGCGGTGCCATGCCTACCTCAAAAGCACAAGGTCCTAAGTTCGATCCCCAGTACCGAGAAAAAAAAAAAGAAAAAGGAAAAGAAAAATAATAATTCAAACATTAGGGGTGCGCACTTTTGCTTACGCTTCTGGAACTCTACCACCATCGTGTGAGGAAGCCATGACCAGCTTGCTAGACTATGTGATTAGGTGGGGCAGAACCAGCCTCTTTGCATCTGAGCTCCTAGACGTGTGCAAGAGCCCAGATAAGATCATCAGAGCTGTGGATTCAATCCAGAAATCAATGCAGGCACTTGACTGAGCACAGCTGAAACCAGAAATGCCACACAGCCAGACGCCAGACATATGAGCTAAATAGATGCTTCACATTTTAGTCATTAAGGTTTGAAGTGGTTTGTTTCATACAGCAATAGTTAGCTAAGATAGAAGAATGTTTTCTTTATTTTTATGTAGAATTTTCTATCCATTCATTTATATATCTTTTGGTGCTAGACACAAAAATATTTGAGCACATTGGCAGAGGTTTTATGATGGTCAAGTAGAAATATTGATGCAGTTTAGATGATATTTGAGAATACCACATTATTTATAGGTAGTGAGCCTGATTCTGTACAATGAACTGTGATATTTGTCCTGTGTGGGAAATATTTATAGTTTTATTTAGATCCTTTAGCCATAGAACATTATTTATTACATTCAGCTAGTAATTTAATCAATTTGTAGTCTATCCAAAAAATTCATATTATTTCTACACATGTCTAATTTTCTTTTATAACACTTGAATAGAAAAATGTAGATGTGTCCATGGATAAACAACAGCCCAGTATATAATTAACCTTTGCCTGTATAGGATGAATTTTAATATACAGGAAACTTTACATTACTTAGAATGTTATCATCAGAAATATGTGACTGCAGTAATGATTTTTTTAAATGTGGCTTTTATCATACAGACTATATTGTATTAAATTTGAGTGTAAGCAAAAACAATTTCTAGAAGAATTTATACAAAACTATTGTCATCGGTCATTTCTAGTAGTGGGAGTAAAACAGGGAGAATTATTTCATATGCTTTTGATGGTTAGTTATCTTTATAAATATAATGCAAACTAATAATAATAATTTTTTTTTTGGTAGCAGGGATCAAACTCGGGACCTTGCACTTGCGAGGCAGGTGGCGGCACCACTGAGCTACATCCCTGGTGCAATTTTTAAGAGTCTAAAACAAATTATAAAATAAAAAAGCAATTTTAAAATCACACTTTTACCTGTAACATTCTTCCATTAGACAGAAATTTATGATGGTCATCTTCCAGCAAAGGCTTTCCGTCTTTTTGCCAGGAATTCCTTGGTGCTGGGCTGCCACTGGATGAACACTCCATCAGTGAACTCCTGTTCACCAGCACAGTGACCTCTTCAGGGAGGTCACCAGGTGCTCCCTTGATAACTGGTGGCACTGGGAAATGATTGCAGCAAAGAATATTAATGGGCCATAGGCGTTCTCCCAAATTATTCTAGTTTTTAACAGCTTTAACAAGTTAGGGATGGTAAAAGAGAAGCAAAATTTGAAGGAGAAATTATGATCTTCAAGTAACATCTTACACTCGTAAATTAGGGTGGTGACAAAAGTATTAGAATTCGGGTTTATTTTCTTCCCTCTCTCATTTACCCTGGACTAATCCCCCAACAGTTTCATTCCTGCTTAGCCCAATCCCAGCTCTTCTCCAAAATATCTTGTTTCTCTCTCAATCTCTTCTACTATTGCTTCTCAGTTGTTAAACATACATATAAGGAACATTTGTACAAGCTGATATTTAAGACTGTTTTGTCATAACGATGAGATAGATAAATTACAGCTTTTAAAGTGTATTTGAAATGTTCAGATTTGGTTTTATTTGTAAGGGGACCATGTGGGCTATTCAAAGTGTTCACCAGCCTCAGCCTCAGTGGTGGCAGCATCACCTGGAAACTAGATTGGAAAAGCAAATTCACAGACCCCCATAGACGTCTCTAGGAAGGACCAAGAAATCAATGTTTTAGCAAGTTTTCCAAGAGATCTTTAAGTATGCTGAAGTTTGAGAAGTCTAGCTCTACATTTTCCCACACATATTTATTTATGTAAATTAATACTGTAGAGTCCAGGTACATGAAAAATCACATGGTATACACAGAAGTAGATATATTTATTTTCAAAGTAAATAATCTCTTGTTTTGAAAGCTTGGTTATTTTTTGTTTCACTATTGAAATATACCATATCTTTACCAATCAGCAAAAATCACATGTTTAATGTAGATGTTGTTTTCTGGTATTTGAGTCTTCAACAATTAAACTGAAATTTTACAAAGACAATAATCAATGCCACAAAGAACATAATGGAGTTTCAATATTATTTTCAGTGCATATAATTTATACTCAGAGTTATGTGCTTTGTATTGATATCCACTGTATTTGCTGCTGTATCCTCAGAGCCTCTCACAGTGCCTGGCATAGAGTGAGGTATTGGTCAAATAAATAAATTTGGAATCTTAGTGTTCTCTCTCTTCACCACTTTTTGGGTTTCATTTACAAATTGCTCTTTGTTTGCACTGACAACTCTACTTCTTCTATCTCTCCCTCCCTACAACCTACCCATCAGGTTCCTTCTAGGTGCGTTTTTTTTCTCTTGCCCAACCCAGACCTCACGAGTGGGTTGATCACTTCAGCAATGCTCCATCATTCTGCTCGTATGATCTCACTCTCTACTGCTTTCACAATGTACTTCTTCTCATGGCCCCGTTCCCACTCCCAGGGGGCTACATCATCTGCTTTTTTATACCTCTACTTCCAGGTGACCATAGAAAGCAATAACTGAGCCAAATGGGTCCAACTTCACATTATCAGATCCTCCACATTGCCAAATGCTAACAGTTTTTATTTTCCACAGGGATGATTCCACTCCTGTCACTGTTTCTTATACTCATACTTAATGGGAGAACTTAAAACCTTTTTCTTTGCACTGGTTCAGTTCTCTCTAGTTCTCTATGAAAAGCTAATTAACCTCCCTTGGTTCCTTCCTTGCACATTTTCCATATTCTAGGACTTTGCACTAAGCATCCCTGAACTCTCCGCCTTCCACACACTCACTTGAAACTTTACCCTTTCTATTAGGTTATTTTCCTTGATCTATAAGCAAATTCAAATCTCTTAAATTTGTTTTCTTTCCTCAACCAGCTGTTGATCCTCAAACTCTATTCTACCTTTCTACTCCTCTGAAAAATGTCTTAGAGTACTCTATTTTTGTTTCCTTTACCTTTGATTACACGTTGAACTTTTATCCTTTTTTCTCCTGTGGCTTTGCAGCACACCATACCATCTGAATTGATCTGTTGAATTTCATCAATGCCTTTTTAGTTCCAAAGCCAAATGGCCTTTTCTTGGTTTCTACTTTCCTAAACTCATTTTAGCATCCAGTAGTAAAACCTACCTCTTGATAACTTTTCTATGCCTTTGACTCTGGAACAAAGTTTACTGATTTTCATTAACTCTTTAGATAGTCCTCTTCTAATTCTGCTTTCCTTTCTGTTCTAATTGTAAATGATGCCTCATTTATCTTCTTTTGATCTTCTACTACCATTTCTGTTGGAAACCTTGGCTTTGGCCACCACCCGTTTGAATAACTGTCAAATCTATATTCTTGGTTCACTTCTCTTTCTTATAGAGAATTTCTTACCTCCAACTTCTCTTTCAACATTTTACCCAAGTTTCCTGTAACTATGCCAAATTCAACACTTCTGAAACAAAATTAATTTCTTTCCTTCCCTCCCTAGTCATGTTTATATCCTAGGTCTTCTACTTCTATTCATCTTGATACCATTTTGCAATCACCTAGGATAAAGATATCAGCGTCCCCTTGCACAGTGAGCTAAGTGCCTAATACTTCATATTATTTAATTACTTCCTTTATAAAATCTTTCATTCTTACCTCTTCCTATATATTCCCACTGCCATTTCTGTAGCTCAGCCTCTTCCAATGCAAGCATCTATTTCTAGTAACAACATGTGTCTTTTCCCTTAAAGAAGCAATGCTTCTTCTACTGACTGTACATAAACTCAGATGGAGATGTCTCTGGCTCCAGAGTGGGAATACGAACCAGGCTTTTTCAATTAGAACACTGTAACCTATGGGTCTCTGAAACTGGCTCAGAGAGGAATAATCTGATTCACTTGCCAACTGAAACCATGGAAAGCAAATTCCAGGTCCTCAATTATAAATACGTACCAAAAGAGAAAAATTTTCATTGAACATAAAACAGGGGGATTAAAGCCTGAGCTGCTAAGGATCACCTTGCTATTCAAGGGGATTCCTACTCAGGAGGGAAATTAATAAATAAAAACAGAATCAAGAGGAAAAAAATTAAGGTCTGGTTGACTTCTTCTGAGCCATACAATTCAGACATGTTAGAAGCCAGATAGACCCTGGGACTTTGCAAATTCATGAGTCAATGAATTTTCTCTTTTGTTTAGGGGGTGTGCACAGTTTCAGCCATTGTGTTACTTAATATCTCAAAAGTTCTGACAATATGCTCTCAATTTGTATATAAAACAATTCTTTGGAAGGACTATTAGTTTCTGATTATCTTTATGGTCTCTAAGTGCTCAGGGTAACATCTTGCAAACATTAGTTTCTGAACAATATTTTTGACTGGAAAATGCATAATAAATGAAAGAAAACAAACTCACAGAGTACACGGACATCATACTGAAGGGAATCTTCTCCAGCCTCATTCACAGCCACACATGTATATCTCCCAGCATCTTCTACTTTAGCCCGGGGAATCTGCAACACTCGCCCTCCTACAAATATACCCCAGTATATTTACTTCTTTGAATCTTAGGCTGAACACAGATCATAAACACAGACCCCATTTTTCAGGTTGAATGACTTCCTTACATTTTATTTCTAGGCTCCTACTTCATCTAATCATTCAGTTTTAATTTCAGATACTATCCATTTTTATAACATTGCATTATTAAAAAGTGAATCAACATTGCAATATGATCAGATTTCCTGAGAAATGAGTAGATCAGGTAAGTTTTCCTAGGGTGGGAGGGAAATGATATTCTACGCCCTTCATCGTGTTCCCATTTGGAATGTTGTCATGCAGTGACTTCATACTTTCACAGCTTTGAATGATTTTTGTAGACATTGACACTGTTTCTTACAAGTACTTGTTTGAAAAAGTCATATCCAGAGATTTAAAAGTATGAAATGTACTGTTACACATAGAATCTTTAAAGAATAGTTCTCTGTATTTTAAAATATTTTAGGTTGATATTTCAAACTTAGAGAAAGGTGCAATAATTATATAAAGATTTTCAGCTACGCTTACTATTTAAGTTTTATGTCATTTGCATTATTTTTATGTCACATATATATTATCAAAATGAACCATCTGAGAGTGAGTTGGAGACATGATGCCATTTTAATCCTAAATACTCTTAAATCAGTATTTTGTAAGAACAAGGATAATCCCTTACATGATCACAACACCAAGATCAAAAGCAGGAAATTTAAAGTTAATATGAAACTATTATTGAATACATAGTCCAAACTCAAATTTCATTACCATTTGCAATATACTTTTATAGCCATTTTCCCAGACCCAGATCCAATTTAGAATCACATATTACATAGTTGCTGTATCTATTTATTTGTTTTCATTTTTGATTATTTTTTCAAGATATTCTTTTACTAATTCAGGCTAAATTTACATATGTTTAATATATATATTTATTTAACACATTGATCTTAATGGCACAATTTGATGAGTTTTGACAAACTCTGAATTTGAATGTTTAGTAAAATTTATTTGAAGCTGTGAAAATATTATTTCACAACAATTTAAACATCTCATAAACACTAAAATATTTTCAATTATAACCTATTTATGAATCATTTAATATTATATAGTAACTATTTACAAGTATATATTAGAATTTATTTTAATAACATATAGAAAGAAAACATTATTTCATTGTACTAGTAGAGAAAAGCAAGCATGAAGAAGCCAAAGGACATTCCTAAAACTACTATCATAATTTGACGGAATGATTTTTTATTAGATCTGAAAAAATTTACTAAGGTGACCTATTTCCTATTATTAAAATCTGAAGCTAGACTATTCTCGATTTAAGCTACGTGGATACCAGTGACTTAACCGCAACTTAATGGCAGTTAAATTACATGGCCAGAGGCCCAAGCAATTTAATTGGGAGGTTTTCTTTTCTTTCATGTTTTTTCCTCTGTACCAGGAATTGAACTCAGAACCTCATGCTTGCCAGGCAGGCTCGGCACCACTGAGCTACATCCCCGGCCCCACGCAATTTAATTGGTTAAATATGTGAGAAGAAATACATGTGACAGAGATTCATATTTTCAAATGTGCACGATGGTTTTTACCTGGTAAAATCATGACTTTGTCACTGGAGGTCAGAGGATGGCCATCTTTATACCATGTCAGTGTAGGAGGAGGCGCAGCATTTGTCTCACAGTAAAGAGAAATGGGATTGTTGATGATCACATCTTTGGCTTCACCACTTCTGCCAGTATCTAGCATGTTTCCTATTTCCCAGAGTTTCTGAAAACTTGGAGGAACTATGGAGGAAAAGCATTAAATTTTGGTCAAGCATGAATCCAGGTGTCAAACCATTAACCAACAATCTTAACTGTATTTTGACAAGAGTGATTTTTAAGTCTAATAAATTAGATGATATTCTTAAGTACTTATGTATCTGCCAGCCCATATCTTAGGCAAACAAAGTAGTAGACCGAAGTTTAAACTGATTCTTATGTGGAAGAACAAGAAATATGGTGCCCAGAAGGCTACATTCATCTTTCTCTTCCCCTGTAATGGGCTCTGGCACTTAGACAATAAAGGGGCCCATCCTCAGGGCAGAGCATTCTAAGAAAGATGATCACAGCACTAAAAACCCCCCAAAATAGTGGTTCAATGGAGAGCATTTCTCAGTGATTTATCTTACTAAAATGCGAAAGGAATTATGCAATCAGAATTAAAAACTTCACTAAGAAAAATAATAGTATAATCTCATACTTTTTGGGAACAAGTATGAAGTATTACAAAATCAAGTTGCCTGTACATCAAAAGCATTTAAAAAGTGAATAACATTTGACCTAAGATTTCCACTTTTAGCCACTTAAATCAAAGATGTGCAAAAATTTTGAGTGTACAGATGTTCAGTGTAGATTATTTATGAATAATAAAAACTTGGAAACAACTCAGACATTAAACAATAGAAGTCTAGTTAAACAAATATTTGGATATTCAACTGATGAAACAGGCATAATTATTAAAAACCATGTTGAGGGTTGGAGGTGCACTCAGTGGTAGACAGCTTGCTTAGCATGCATGAACCCCTGGGTTTAATCCTCCCGCACTCATGTTGAATAGTTAATATCCCCCAAAGTAACAATAATAGAAAATATTAAATTGCTTGGGATCATTTTCTATTATTGCTCAGTGGCACTGTGCCTGCCTGGCAAGCACAAGGTCTTGAGTTCAATTGCCAGTACAATTATTTTACTAAAAACTTACACATTTTATCTCATCTAGCACTCACTACAATTCTATAAGGTATTAACTCTAAACATGAGGAAATGGAAGCTTAAAATATTTACGCAACTCCCACATGTCACAAAGCTTGTAGTAGAAGCAATTATGATCCAATTCAAAATATGATTACTCTGAATTCTGTTCTTTACTGCTTTCTTATATTGCAGATATATGATATTTTAAAAACTTCATAAGAGAGCCAGGGATTTAGCTCAGTGGTTCCACCGCCACCTTGTAAGCTCAAGGTCCCGAGTTCGATCCCCGGGACAAAAAAAACCCCAAAAAAACACTTCATAAGAGAGTGTCAGGTGAACGCTAATGTAACACAGAAGTCTGTATTAGATGGTCCAAGTTTATAAATGAAGTATATACTTAAGATTTTCAAAAGGAAACATAAAACCTAATAGAGGTAATCCTGAGTAATGGGATTTTTTCTTCTCCCTTAATTTCTCTTGTTCAAAATTTCAATAATGAACTTATATTATTGCCAATAGAAAAAACCTTTTAAAAATAGATCAGATCGAATCTCTTTTCCATTACTTTGATAGGTCATGTTGATTAAATTTTATAGAATTAGATATTAGTGTTACCTTGTATATTCACATCAAAATCCAACTCATCTTCACCTGCAAGATTAGATGCAACACAAGTATATCGTCCGGTGTCTGATATTTGAGCTTCCTTTATTTGAAGTGTGTGTCCATTTGCAGCAATAGTAACATGATCATCTGATTTAAGGGGCTGTGATTTAATTGTAATAACATTAGCATTATGCACTTCGTAAATCCTCTATGAGAGCATGCAGGTGATTTATATTTGGGCCAGGCATTTGTAAGGTAATGCATTTATACATTTTTATAATGAAAAATATGTTCTCAGGTACCATTTATCCATGTTAGTTTTTTTTTCAGCTATTATTATCTAGTACTAAAAAAGTATCCTTTGTAATTTTATTTAAAAAACAGAATTTATGAAAAATTGAGGGTACTAGTATAATCTGATTTATAACTCTTTTTCTCTCAGAATTATTATCACCTCATACATAAAAATTTGTGAGTTAGAGATATTTATGCTAGGATGTCTTATTTAAATTATCACTTCCTCTCAATTCTTGAAGATTTTAGCTGCTAGGTCATTCCTGGTAATGATATTATTGTCATAATTCATGGTGGATTAAATATCCATGTGGACAGTCTTCCAAACCCATACCATTTCAGCTCCTTGATCTCCTCTCCTTTAATTTTTTTATCCTCTGTTCTTTCTCAGTTACTATGTAAGAGAGTCTGACAGAGACAGACCTGATAATTAGCAATAAAGGCACCCTTCATAATCTTGGTTTCAAGTTTTCACTCTCTGCCTGCCTCCTGCTAACTTTTAACTCATATTTCATCTTTTCTTGAATATGATCCGATCAGACTGTGTCATCTACTTGAACAAAGTCTTTGTCAAGGTCGCCAATGACATCCATGTTGCTAGAGTTACTGGTCAATTCTCAGTGCTTACTTTACCTTGTCATTGGTATTTGATACATTTTAACTTGTCTTTATTTTGAAATACTTTCCCCCTTATATTTTGAGACCCTACACTCTCTATCTACTCCTTCACTTCCAAATGTAGGAATCCCTTCAGATCTTAATCTTCGTATGCATTCTCTTTCAATCCAATCTCATTCTCTTCATGATCTCCTGCAACACTTGTACTCATCTCTCCTTTACATCCTACATCTTGCTTCCACTTCCACAAGGTAATCATGGCCTTTCTTTGTTACCACCGCAAGAACTTCAGAGCTGGACCCTCTCTTTCTTCTTCAACTCTAGAAATCAATGTAGCCCCTTCGAAAGCTTAAGTATATTATATCATACCAAATCATTTCATATCATATCATATCTTTCCTATGTTCAAAAGTTGCCAGTTGGCCTTCTATCCAAATAAGGGAACACTGGTCTACAAGGCAGTATGATGTGGCCCTCTATTCCTCTTTGTCTCATAACTTCTGTGCTCCCATTGGCTACTGCACTCTGGTCCAAATGCCTCGGGTGCTTTTCCTTTGCTACACACTATACTTTGAAACATTTTCGCTATGATAGTTTATGTCTGTTTCCTTCATTGTCTTTGGTTTTCTGCTTAAATATCATCTTATCATAGAGGCTTTCCCTGTTTAAGTATCCTTGGTATCCTTGTTCACTGAGTTTTCTCTATGACGTCTATTCCAGCTGGAACATTCTATTTTACAGGGTTATTTGTTTAGTTCCTCTCTTCCCTAACTTACATAGGTGAGATTTTTTGCTGTTTCTTTCATGGCTGTATGTGCTGCACCTAAAATAAAACTTGGTAAATAGAAGTGCTCAATACATAATTTGGGCTGCAACAAATCATTATTAACAGTATATCATGTATAAAAATTGCATGATTTACATTTTCGATGTAAAAGCAAAAAGTTCAGGGTATAAATAAATAAAACTCAAAGAGTATCAAAAGTTATTGTGGTGCTGGGGATTTAGCTCAGTGGTTCCAGCGCCTGCCTCCCAAGCACAAGGTCCCAAGTTTGATCCCTGGTACAAAAAAAAAAGTTATTGTGACCAATACTGCCAATACTTGTGTGTGTGTGTGTGTGTGTGTGTGTGTCTGTGTGTGTGTGTGTGTTTAATACTGCTTCACTAAAGTAGTACTGCTTATATGAAAAACAGAAAATAGAGAAATTAATAAAAAATATTTTTGTTAGAATTCTAGTGAACCAATCTCAAACCATAAAATTTAGCAGTTTGAAGTATCATAATTTGATCAATTCTAAAATTTGAATTTGAAACAATATTTTACTCAGAGTGCAATTTTTAAAAATGTCTCATTCCTATTGCTCTTCTGGTCTGTACCCAGTTTTTATGGGTGTGCATGTGTTTGTGTATGTGTGCATGTATAGTAACTACAAGAAAGGAAAGGCTTGAGAGAATGTTTAAAAGTAAAATAATAACATGATTTCAACAGAGAAAGGAATTATTTATTTCCAAGCAAATTTATATAGAATTGATATTTTATCATGAAGTAAGCTTGCAGTCAGAAAAGAAACTACAAACAGAACATGGTGGGAGTTCTATATTTCTCCTTTTGCAATGGCTTCCAGATGAAAATTGCTTATTTTATACGGAATGATTTTTTTCCTAGCTGCCAGTATTGCAAAATACATCTGGGATCTCTAGACCCCAGGAAAAATAAGCTATATCTTTGGTGCATCTATGACCTAAATTTCTATAACTAGAATTTAACTGACAATTTGGTTGATTAACAGGATAAACAACAGCTTAGCTAGTTCACATCTGTATTAAGTAGTGTTAGCAACAACTAAAATATCTATTTTAGCCTGAGAACATCAGCACATTATATCTTTAAAACACACATGGAAGAGTATAAATTAGATGTGAAAAAAAATACGGTGTAGGTCTGAAAGTCAGATCACAACAGTAAGGCTCTGCCTTTTGTTTGAAGTTTCCTAGTATTTCATGAAACTGTATTATGCTCTCCATTGTCTTTTTAAAGCTTGTTTTCTTTCTCTTGTAATAATAAAAGTATCACCTTTCATTAAGTTCTGAATAAATTTATTTCTCAATTTATACTCTTCATTCTAATCCGGTTGAGCACCCTGTGTTTCTTCTCTATAGAAGTTTACTTACTTTCTAAAGCCACAGAACAGAAACAATGTCCCCCTAACTTTTCCAGGGGAGAGTGGCCAGATTTTCACAGTCAACTTCTAAGTAAAACAATCCTGCAAACTCTCCCATGATGGAACAATACCAAAATTACTGAAGGTGGATTAGGTTTCTTTTGTTGGTTTCTTAGTAGTTTTAGATGCTAAGAGGATAGGACTTGATCATTTTAAGGTCACAATGATTTTCTGAGTCACTTGTGCCTGATATCTTTTATTAATCATATTAGTCTTTAAGAAACCATTAGCAGATAAAAATAGTTGACTGGCCTGTCCATCCTTGTACCAGCTGAGGGAGGCAGAAGGAATCGCATATGCTTCACACTCCAAAGTCAGGGTGTTGTTTACTTTTATCTTCACTTCCTTGGGGGAAAGACCTGGTCCCAAAATGTCCCCTTTATTGATTATGGGTGGAACTGCATAAAATAAACATTAAAGAGTTAAACATTGGTTCTTTGTGTGCTTTACTTTCATTAAGAACCTCAGTTAGCATCTTAGTGAACAGTAGTATTCAGTACAGAATGTGAAGAGAAATATCCTTATTCCCCACCAGTATAAAACTGCCAGCGCTACTAACATTCTTCACAGAAGAGTTAGTTTCATTTGTTCCAAGTTCACAGACAAAGAATAACCCTTAAAATGCATTTTATTGGCTTCTAAAGGTGCTGAGTCAAAGAACAAAAGACAATCAGAAAAATATTCTTTCTTTATAAAAAGAAGAATAAAATATTGGAAATGTGGATCCTATTAATGGCAGTATTAGCTTTGCTTTTTATTTATCGTTCATTGTACATTGCAATAGCCTAAAATCACGTATGATCTCATCTTGGGCAGTGGACTAGGGCACATGCATTTAAACAACAGTTATGTACACAACATTACAATAACTTGGCCAAGACAATAAGTCAGAGACAAAAATAGAGAAATTTGAGAAAGCGCCGCTGACATGGTCTCTGACAAGAGGATAGTGTTCAGACTGAATGGATTCTTCACATCTTTAAGCAATTGAAGTGGGCATGATTCTTAATTCAATGTAATGAGGCAGACTGAATAAACAAGAGTCTTTAAAGATCAGTATAGGTAATTATGAACCATAATGAAAACTAGGACTGAAAGAGTTAAAAAAATTAGAGAAGATATGAAACATAGTGTTCTTTCAGAACTTACTGTAGACTTTCACTTTATAATGCTTTATCATTTCTCCAGCCTCATTAGTGGCCACACACGAGTATCTTCCAGCATTGTTCTCCTGGGCATTGAGGATCTGCAGAGTTCTACCTCCTAAAAGATTATGAAGCATCAAAGAAGCTCTGACATCAAAATGGTAAGAGTATGTCAAACTCCCAGGGTTTTAGTTCTCATTACTAACATGTTTCTTCTTAGACATCATTCTGTGGCAGACAGTTGATACAGAACAAACCAAAGTCTGTGTGAGCACTGCGTGGTGGGCGCGACAGTCGTGAATCCCCGCTGGTTCTCATGGTAATGACTCTCACACCTCTGTACACCACTCTAGCTAAGTCTCTCTTCACTCTTAACAGATAGGCTTCTGCCTGAATCATCTTCCTCTCATCCATCTGACCTACATTAATTGTGCTAAAACACAATTTTTATTATGGTTCCTTCCTCCTTAAAAATCTTCGGTAGTTCTTAACTGCCTAAAGTACAAACCAAAAATTATTCAAAGGAGCATTCAAAACAAGACTCCAACTTTCCTTCCTGACCTTATGTCCTGCTCTCTCAGCCCACAAGGACATCTGATGTCTCCATTCACAGAGTGGGGAAGAGGTCTCTTATTATTACTTGCACATGGCTAGGCCATTTTTCACTTTATCGCTTTCCCACTCTAGCCACCCAGCAGATCTGAAACATCTTGCAATTCATTGTCAATTAAATTCTAGAACATTCTTTATAGTCTGGTCCATGTACTAAGCAATAAAGCTTTTCCTCACCACTTCAGCCCACAGTAGCTATTTATTCTTTTGAATTCTTATAAAAATTGTTACTGCCCCATTTTTCATAGTTTCTTTTTATTTATAATTCATGTTTATTCACAAATTAATGTTGATAAACTTTTACACATATCATTTCTCCTTTAAATAAGACCATAAATTTCTTAGAGCCTGTGATTGTACTTTTTAATTATATCTATATGTGTTAAAGAGGAATAAATAAACTCAATCTAAATACTAACTCTCCTTCAAGATTTAATCCATTAGAAAGTAAATTTCTACCTGTTGCTATTCCACATTACAATGTATTTTAGCAATTAATTACATTATAGCATTTGATTATCTTGTCATTTAAGTATTTTTATATTCTTTCAAAAATATTTGGTCCTTTAGATGAAAGGGTACATATAAAAGTTAGGAATTAAAATAACAATATAACATTTTGTAAAGAAAAAACTCAATGATTCTGCTTTTCGACAACAGTAGATGACACAGATGCATCTGGGACATCTGAAATTAATTTATTACCAGGAAGAATGCGAATATTTTGGGTGGATTCTAATGGAGCTCCATCCTTAAACCAGGTGATAGTGGCTGGAGGGTATGAATAAGCTTCACAGACCAGAGAGGTCGGGCTGTTAAGGGTAACAATGACATCTTCAGGGCTGCCATCACTTTCTACACCAACAATTGTAGGAGACACTGGAAAAGATGTAAAATTTGATTGAAGAAAAATATTTAGAAATTTCTCTATCTGTGCATTTCTAAATTGCCATTGTATTTATTTATGTAATTCTATTTCTTAACAGTTACAAAATAACTAAATTTTGTTCTTAGTTTCTGCAAAAGCAGTGAGATCCTTAAAAAAGCTCACAGGGTCATGAGAAAGATGACACATCAAAAAGGACCCATAACATAATGTAGTAAGGACAATGCAGGCAAATGGAGGAACAGCATTCAGTCCAGGCTGATGTGTGGAGCATGAAGAGTTTCATTAGAGAAGCTCTCTTGGAGTAGGTTTCAGAGTGAGTTCTACAGTATTAGCAGTTGTTAGCAGATAAAAAGAAAGCATATTGGGAGCACAGTACTAGTAAGCAATGAGGGACAAGAAGGGAACATTTAAAGGATGGATTTGAGAGGGTCAATACTGGAAGGAAGGATAACAGTTATATTTGATTCACAAAAGATATGAGATACTGAGCTAATGCATTAAAAGAAGGTAGAACTTGCGGGCTAAGGGAACTGAAGTGAAAAATAACTTGAGAACTTAAACTGCGGTGAAGTAATACAAACAGAAAATATGGAAAGATTTGCTTATTTGAGAGGGAAAGATGTTTTATTAAATTTTGAATACATTGAGTTTTAAATCATATATTCCAGTTAGAAATTTCAACAAACAATTCTATATAGGAATGTTCCATCTGGTAAGAAAGATCTGGGCTTCAGCAGTGGATTTTAAAAGCCAGCAGTCTATAGGAGTTAAACATCTGGGATTGTATTAGTAGCAGAGATGTCTAGAGCCTCCAGAGTCATGAGGTAATGACAGAGCTCTAGAGCTTGCAGTGTTTCAGAGACCGATCAAACGCAAGTTCGTAAAGGAGAAAGATAGGAAGCAACCAAAGGTGTGCAAGGATGAGTAGGCAAGAACACTGTCAGGGTAAAAGAGATCAATGACATGTCAGTACTGAAAATTATTTGCTGGACAAACAATACAGTAGTTCTTGCCAGGGCAGTGTCAAAAATAGCACAAAAAGAGTTCTGTCCTTAGTGGGACATAAGTGGATAAAGTCAGAAATGGGGGACACAGTAGAAAGTAAAGCTGCCAGCAAAGCAATCGCAGGGAGTAAGTGACAATCCAACGAAGGCAAAAAGATAGGGTCAAGGGCACAAGCACAAGCAGTAATTGTGAACAAGAGTAACTCATCTTTTCAAGAAAGAAAGGGCAAAGGCACTGAGTTTATTGCTGGTTAGATTGGAAGGAGCAAAAACACTTGAATAGCCTCAATTTCATTAAGCTGGCAGATAAGAGACTTTGATTAAGATACCTCAATCTTCGCTGAATTAGAAGAATGACAAGGAACTGGGTAAAGAACCAGGCAGGGGTGAGGCTGCAGGAAGGTGTTAGAGTGAGATGGCCTGGCTTAGGATACCCAGGATAAAGAATAAGTGGTCTCCACAGATGTTCTCAAGGGAGCTGATGTCTCCAGGAAGGGTCAAATTTCAATTGTAGCCAGTAGCTGGAGAGAGTTTTACAGCAGGATTGCAAGGAGGACAGATAACTGGATGAGGAGATGGGTCAGTATTGAGAGATGAAGCAGAAGTGGGATGAGTAAGTCACGAAGGACTTAAAGTCATAAGAGAAATACAAGCTACAAGAGAGAATAGGTAACCCAGGGCTGATATTTGTCTTTTCTACACTGACTAAATGTGTAGAGATCACAGGTAGGTAAGGAAATAAACTCGCTCATAAACCCATTAGTATTTATACATGCATTTAGTTTTGCAATACCATATTAGATGCTAGGGCTAATCTCTTTACAAAGCGAAAAAGGTTTCTTCCCATGAGGATTTATAGTTTTGTAAAACATACAATAATTATATATACTATTCACCTGTCACTTACTTCTATATTATCTGGTATTTTGATTTAACTTTTCTTGCACATGTATCTTCTACTCATTTAGACTGTAAGCTCTCTGAGGGATGTGTTCTATATAGGCAATTTCTATCAATGGGAGTATTCATGTGCTTCTCAAATAGTATAGCCAATAAGTACAAAAACAAACAAACACAACTACAAAAATTTGCAAACCAACATGTAAGTCAGTAGTTGATTTTAGTAGAATTATTTTTATATTAGTCATCAAATACAACATATTTAAGTGGTACATTTTAAATTTCAAAGAATGAACATGGAAAAATCTAAGGTCATTCTCACAACATAAGCATTACTTCAATATCGCAGGAACCAAATGTATCAAAGCACAAAGATATTTCATCACTTCTACGCACAAAGACTAGAATATGGACAATTTCCAATAATGGAAGAATTTCACAAAGAAAGGATGCAATGTTTCTGACATTCATTCACGGTTTACCTGCTTTTCTTTGACCAGCATAACTTTATCTTTTACTGTAGTATGTTTAATACCTGTTTTGTTCATAGCTACCCTTTGCATAAAATACTGTGCCTGGAACACAGTGAGGTAGTCCATAGCAATTAATGAATTTATGAATGATTGAATAAATTAATTAAGGAAAACTGTAAATAAACACAACACTGGTGCTCCTTACATAATGAAACTCTATGATAGAAATAGTATATATGCAGAGAAAGAAAAGATTTTAGCTTATAGTCACATCTTATTCGTCAGGATTTGAAGCAGAACTTCCACCTACCAAACACATTAAGACTGAAACTTTTGCTTTTCTCGCCAGCTGTATTAGAAGCCAAACACATATATCTTCCAGTGTGCAACACTTGGGCATTGGTAATGTGAAGAAAACGGCCACCAGACGTAATGTGATGGGTTTCATCTTCTCGGAGGAGCTGTCCATCTTTGTGCCATGTGATTTCTGGCATGGGATTCCCTGCAAGGAAAAACCATTTCTGTCAGATGCCTAATAATTACATGTCTCCAGATGATGAACATTGAAAGAAAGTATTTTCACTCATTTGCTCTTCTATATGTTCCATTTCTAAAACAATGCAATAAATTTCAAATAAATTTCAAACTAATATTTTTGGTAACAATAATAGTTATGCTATGATAGTTACACACAGATTAGAATATTACTCAGAACACCTCTTTATTCATATTACATTTTTAAAAAATACTTGACAGTTTTTAGAAAATGCTATAGAAAAGTAAAACCTTTAAGGAAACAACTCACCAACTAGATAATTTAAGTTACATCAGATTCTAGCATAGCTAAGTAGATAAAGACATAAGTATAGTATAAATATATTAATTCTTCTTTTAATATTTATAGCCCAACTTTAAAAAATTCATCTCAAAAGGAGAATTATGTTTACTATTAAGTTTAAAATTGTTTCAATAATTTTTAAAAACTTTAAAACCACAAAAGCAAGCCATGTTAGGAAAGAAAGCTAGGATGATACATTAAAACCAGAAAGCTTTAGCAGAGAATGCTGTTAAGATTTAGACAAAGATTCTCTGTGTAACAGTTATTAAGTACCACATTGTTTCTAGAAAGAAAACAGAGTAAATAAGTAATAGTATAATATCTGTGCTGCTTAAAATAAAAACATTTCCTTACTTAAATTTATTGCCTACACAGGCATACGAACAATGAAAGAAGAAACTCATCAAATCTTCATTAAAACACTGGCCTCCCATAAAGTGTTGTGGGCTACTTTAATTGTTCTTTAGAATTGCAAGGCCCTTTAAATAAAATGGAACACCTGACAGCATTCCCTTAGAGATTTATTTATTTTGATTATAAGCAACAAACCAATTGGATGGTAAATATAGTGAAACTGGTTTTAGAATTTTTATTTTTCCTATTCCCCATTCTCTTGCTAATATCCCAGCACGTTAACAAAAGGAGACAGTTTTGTTCTTGGATAAAATCCTGCCATCAAATAAAGCTATCCTTCCACCAAAATTCCTAACTACTTTGAAATGAAGTTTAGGAAAACTAAACGAACACAAAGATACAGAGAATGAAAAAGAAAATAGGAGATGAAGTAGGAAAAACCTACATATAAGAAAATGCAGACTAAAAAAAAAAACCCACCAAAACTTTAGTGACTGGCAAGAAAAGACCAGTGTTCACTCTTCCTCTTTCCTGACTTTGTTTCTCTCTTTCCTGAGAAAATTTCCTTTTATTTCTACAGAATCTGAGAAATCTCTGGTTCCCTCTTATATTCTACCTGAAATACTAATCTAGAATTCAATGTCAAATGTCTATTACCTTAGCCAGAGCTTATCCCAACCAGTTACGGTGTAGAGCAGAGGCAAGGACTGTCAGGGAGTCAGGCAAACACTGGAATATGGAGCTAGTAACCTTACCTGTCACTTCACAAGTCAGTGTGACACTCTGCTTCTCTTTTACTTTCACATCTTCCAGGCTATTTTCACCCACAATACGAGGCGGTTCTAAAAAAAATAGTTAAAAATCTAACAGCAGTGCTGCTATTTTATAGACATCTGTATTTACTAAGCTATTAGCTTCAAAATAAATCTTCAAATTCTCATTCATCATTTGATTACTATAACAGCAAAATAGTTTTGATCATTTCTAGTTTTAATATATATTGTAATATGTCACAAATCTTATTAAACTGAATTTAATTGTAATATAAATCATAAAGTGGATAAAAATATATCAACAAATAATGTGTGAGGAAATTTGTTTATTACAGTATAATTCTAATAATCTCACGTTAAGCAAGTCATTCAGTGTCTGAGAATATTGTTGAACAATTGTGAGCTGACAAGACACAGTAGCTTAGCCATTTTAATTAGACTGATTGCTTCTGAACAATTCTGACCTGGGGCCAGGGATTTAGCTCAGTGGCATCGCACCTGCCTTGCTAAGTGCAAGGTCCCAAGTTCAATCCCCGGTGTCAAAAAAAGAAACAATTCGGACACTGGACTCTTGCCAGGAGTCATAGTCCAGGATGTAGATAAACCAGTACATTTTTTTAAATCTAGATATTACAAATTAGAGAAATACCTAATACTGAAAGTCCAAAGAGCTTTCTTTCTTCACCAGCTGTATTCTTTACAATGCAAGTATACTGACCAGCGTCTTCTATTCTGGCCTGTATTAGCCGTAGTGTCCTGCCTCCTGGAAAACAAACCACGAGATTACTTAAACACAGTGGGAAAGGGCAGCAAATGCGAAACAGAATTTGATAGAAAAGGTGATGTTCGAGTGTGTTCTTAAAAGGTGAATATATTTTAACAGGTAAGCTGAGAAATGCCATTGTGGGTGGAGCATGAATGAGGATATAGAAGTAGAAAGCATAGGGGATGATACCAAAAGCAGAACAGGCGGAGAAATGGTAAGAAATGAGGCTAGATGGAGTTTGGTCAATCTTGGGGGGTCTTTGAATATTAGGCTAAGGAGTTTAGAATTTATTGTGATCATTAAAGGGACAAGGTCATGATGTGACTTTTACTTTCAAAAGAAAACCAGGATAGGAGGTTTAGGAAAAGACTCCCAGTTTGCCACTGAACAAACAAAATGGGAATGTCAGAAGAGGACTAGCTCAATAATGCCGAGAGGTCAACCATTAATACAGACTAACAGCTTTCAACTGAATTTAATGGAAATCCCAGAACTATATATGTTTATGGGGTCATCCCATACACTACTTGTGCTTTTTTTCATATTGTGAACTTCTAAGTAACATTATGTTTGAAAATACATGTTTCAGACAAGCAACGTAGGTAGAATGAGAGTGAAACTCAAGGAGGAAACTCCATTAAAGATAAAGGTAAAAGAGGCAACAAATGAGATGAAATAAAGCTCACAGAGAAATAAGAGATGCACTGTGAAAGAAGACTCCTGAAAACCATTTGGGAAGAACAACCTAAGAAAAAAACCCTCTATTTCTAACATTTTGTAATTATTTTTCTAGCTGGTACATTTTTCCTTAGAATCCTGTATTTAAACCAAAAAATTATAAGGGTAAACAAAAATTTCATGTAAATGTTCACCTGGATCTGGTTCAGGAGCCTCCATTTGTTTTAGGTTTATATAAACACAACAAGTTGACATTGAGCTTTTTTAATAAGCAATTTTCCCACCCTCAATCCATGGAAAGGTGAACTTAGTAGTATTTTATTTGGACAAAACTGATTATCTGAATTCACTCTTTTCATTTCCAGCTGAATTTAAATAAATAGATATAGAAATTATCTAAATATGTTTTTATAAAAAATACTTTGTCAATTAGGAAAGGATTCACACACTCAGATTAGGAGGACCCTAAGATGATTTCAGTTGAGATATTAAAACAACACAACTTTTATGAGTCATTACTGGCTCTACAAACTTCAACCTCAGTCTCATGATCTTTCTTTCCCTTGTTTCCTGGTCCTCTCTCTTAATCCAGTGGGGGAAAAATGGATCTGACAGTAAAGTATACTTTCATGAAGATGTTTCTTGTACCTATTAAATTTTTATAGCAGTTATCTGTCCTTGGCAGATAACTTTATAATAATGATAGAGCCGTCACCAAAGTACTGCTTTCAAAAAGCTTAAAGTCATAGGAGGAGTAATCTTAATAAAACAGAAGTCTGCAGCAAACCAGGACTGAGAAAATCTTAGGTCATTCATCTGATTCTCATTCATCTACTGCACAAGACAAATATTCAGACTATAAAAGTGAATGAATCCTTTGGCAGCATCACAAGGCGAAACACTTTTAATGTGTTTGCTCACTGATCTCCAGCTACTAGTCCGGCAAAACAAAACTAAGGAAAACCAAAACATCACTCCTGGAAAGTTATAGAAGCCAAAGTGCATCATTCTCAGTTGCCATTTTCATTTCTGGAAGCTCTAGAACATATTTACTATGTTTCTATTCTCTCAGAAACTAGAAAAAGAAAAAATATGAGGGTAATTTCAAGAAAATAATGTGCTCAAATTTTTGGTAATTATTTTTTAGCGAAATCTTTGTAATTACTATGCATTTCCTAAGGTCAACAGAGACTGGGAGTCCTATGAAAATGAAAACATCATAGTAGGGACGTAGGAAAATTTCCCAGGTCAGGGAGACTACACACCTATTATCCGATTGTCTTTAGCAATAATAACAAACAGGTATTGGATGCTTGCCATAGAAGTTGGCACCATTTTAACTGCTTTATTCTTATAAAAACCCTAAGAGGCAAATACTATTAATATATTTACTTTACAAATGATGACAATGAAGTTAAAAAGTTAAATAACTTGCTTGAGATCATAAATACAGTGAGAATTATAGAAAATGAATATGGTTAGTAACAATGTATATTCTTTATAAATTCCTATCATTTATAGGGTAAGGTCAGAAAGAAAGAAAGAAAGCCAATCCTATTCTACTTGTGGCATTTTATCGCCAGACTATTTTGGTTTAGACCTATGTTTCAAAGTCTAATGGACAGATGAAGAGTAGGCATATATGCCCTTGTTCCCCATTTTAGGGAGAAAGC